CCTCATAGGAAGCGGCTCTGAGGAAGGCGAAATCCGCCGAAACGTCAGCTTAATCGTGAACAAAGAATAATAACACCTCGCGTTTGCTCAGCAAAAATACGAAGAAAATCACTTGATCAACGCCGAGGTTAATAGAAAGTCGGTCGCGGCATATAAAATGTTTGTTTAGAAAAAAAATAATGAAATTTCGCACTCTCTCTCTCTATCCGTTCTAGTTCCACACCAGTTTCTCACTCTCTCACACCACTGTAATTAAGCAAAGAAAAAGATTTTAAAAATTTCAATTCTAAAAAATTGAAAAATGATGTTGTGAGTGATTTGCCCATTCGATTCCACTGGTACGGGGCTACCTGGCTGTATTCGTATGGAGACAGTGGAAAAGCAAGTCGTTCAGAAGCGCTATGGTGCAACCATTTCCTATAGTCGTTTAAATTCCTTCCCTTTATTACGCAAAATAACGCTGTTAAAGAGCCACTAGTGCGTAAATCCGTGACCTCCTATGGACAGGCGCGATATCATATGCGTTAGAGCAAAGATTAAAAGCATGTTGCTAGCTTGAAGGAATTGATTTCTTTTATTGGCGCCAATATTCTGATGAACGAGCAAACTCAAACGGGTATGGCTACTGGCAGCACGACGTCGAGCAGATAGATGACGGTACACACTATTAAACTAACACTACTAACCACTTATTAACAGTTCATAAAAAACTTTTAAGAATAGTATTTCTGAGTCCTTTCGCTGAAGCAAATTTCATTCCAGTTCAACAGCTGAAGTGGGTTTTACTCTGGGAAGTATTCGGTACAGCATTACTCAAATACTTCATTCCATGAATATCCTGTACTTTCCTATACTTTTACACTCACGCCAATTAGTCTTTATACTGGTTATTCAATGCCGAATTATGCTTGAGCCACGTGACCCTTAGAAATTCCGAGATCCTGCTGAGCGTGAGCATGCCTGGTCCGTAAGCCATCGCTGTGCTTATGACTTGTTTTTATGCGACTGTGTACTACACGATGATGACGGAAATCCGGTCTAAGGTTACTCTTGCAAAAATTGAGCTTCCACTACACCACTACACGTTTCAGGTCTTCATTGCTGACCCCGTAGAGAAATATTTCGCAATTATACTTAAAAGAAGTAAATATTAGTTTAGACACCTGCTGTCTCACGGCTACCTGACTTGAAACGATTTTTAAAAAAGCATCAACTGCTCTCAAAATACTCAATTAGCTCTCAAAGTTATTTCAAATCCCAAACTGGTTTGCGAAAAAGCAATTTAGGCTTTATGTCCATCTATATTCTGATCTCACTCGGACGCGTCCTGCAATACACACGTGGAATTGGTCCCCGAGTTCACGGCTCACCAAGCCTTCCATCCCTCCGGAGTCAGCAAACTGGTACTAGTCTTGTCTGGGAGGACAGCAGCACTGGTTCAATACATCAGTAGACCACCGCGAGTCATTGTTAAGACCAGATATGCATTCAATCACCTCCAACGATACTTAATGAAGTCGAATGTATGGCGCATCCCTAATGGGGTTGATCAACGCCGAGAGCTTTTAGAGCTTTTGTATTCTGATCTGGTAATAAATTAAACTACAACATTATTTATGTTCCACCAAAAATGTTCGTATTGTAATAAAAAGAATGGTCTCGACCTGAAGTTTCGAAGTTGAAGTGATATACAGCTTGAAACACTAGTCTGATAAGTTTGTCGTTCGATTTCACCTATTGATCTGCCTCATTCCTCTTGAAATTTTCATTTTTTGAACATTTAGTCTTTAATTCAGCAATGCACCTATTGATTGGGATCCACCCTTTCTTGCGATAATTGCTCAGATCGAGTCGGAGAGCTGGACGCTCCGATGGACATACACAATCGTCCAGTCGGGTTTTTTTCTTTTTTTCCTAAAAAATAACTTTTATTTCCTCCGAAGAATCCTCCATGGAATGAATTACTACTAATGAACCACTATTGAAGAGCTCTTCTATAGCAAAAAGAGACCTTTCTGAGAAATTCCTTGCGACCGTGGTAGTTCACAATTGCATATTCAAGCAGAGCACCGAAAATAAATGCCAGACAAACCCCGATCCATACATCAACGGCCTAAATCAAAAGGTTTTAAGAACGCGTCGAAATTTGGACCATTTGGGATTTCACTTCGATAGCAAAACGACCATTGAAAATGTCTTCTGGGCTAACTATTCACATATCTAGTTAGATTTTCTACTGTCCCTTGTTTTCAAGAAAATCTGTAGTGCTTTCACAATGTTTCCACCTAACTCGAATTTGAGTACCATTGAAAATCGAAGCATGGATAAAAAACGTTAGCTTTTATCGCAGCCTAAAAGTTTAAACGTGCATCTATTTATTGAATACACTTATAACTGCTCTCTTAGAAATAAGACAGCTACTAATACAAAGCGCTTCAGTTAGTGAAGATAGAGTTGAGTTTCTCCTGAGATTCTTCTTTCTCTGAATTTTCTCCTGAGATTCTTCTCAAGGTTTCATCATTCCAGAAGGTGGAAATTGATAGAAGAGCAGGATTAACGCCCCTCATTCTCAGGCAAAACGCCAGGATCTCCGGATAAGTACCCAACTTCGTGAAATAACCGAGAATTGTAAAACACCACTCACCAGCTCTAGCTATTATACGCTAATTGAAGACGTTTACTGGGGCTAGCCATTGTGTTCAAAACAGTGCAAAACCTAATCAGGTACTGGAGGGTTTTGCACTGTTTTGAACACAAATGGTAAATACGGTTGAAAAAGGAACTTCATAAAAATAGCTGATGCTCTTTAGGGTTTTCCTAGCCACCGGTGCTCAATGGGTAGTTCCAGCTTGGGACAGAGACAAATAGTGATCTTTCTGGCGACTACATGGATATACCATTGTTTCGAACCTAAAATTTATGTATGATACTCACGCGGGAACAGATGGTACCCAGATGCCCCAACCTAGCAAGGGTGCTGGCTCGATCCCACGCCTCGTTTACCAAATCTCTCATCTCTCCGGTGTCCAGAAACAGGCAAAGAACTTGTCTGGGAAAAGTTTATTCGCTGCATTCCAACTGGGAACGCTCTAGATCAGCTATCCCAGGACTTTTGAGGGAATCGATTAGACCAGCATTCAGCGAAGCTCACGACAAGAGCAAAATTCTCAAGCAGCAATGAAACTCACATGCAAAAGTTGGGAGACCCCCGTGGGTGGTGAATCCAAGGAACGAATCAACTAAATGAAGTATAGGATGCGTACGGCAAATGTGAAATACTGGTTGTGTAAGATAAGATACTTATGCAATTACACCAGAACGCCCGTGATAGTGGTTGCACTCCCTAACGTTTCACAGTGAATCACAAACAGGATGAGAAGTTTGATAGGATCTCTTCTATTGTTACACTTAAACTATCGCTTGCTGAGATCGGATAAGTCTTTTTCAAGGATTTTTATTCAAGAACTATACAACTACAATAGAACGACAACCATTAAACATAGAATACCGCTATGAAGTGTACTACAAAAGAGATTTTCTGTTCGTAGTGTACAACGTAACTTTTTAAATTTCATGGAACATATGTTACAGGAAAGAATAAAGATTCTCCATCGTTGATATTCGGGTAGAACGCGTCCCTCTCAATTAACCGTGTCAGCTGTCGTTTAAATAAACAAACTCACTTTGATATAAGACACTGGTGGCAATTTAGAATTGATGCCACTCGCTTGGGTTGTCATCGTGAGCAGCGTCGTCACACCCAGAGACACTCGAGCTGGCACAGCATCCTGAATCGAGACGGATTTTACTGGAATTGGTGCTGAAGTAGCGGACAATTCGTACCTTGTCGAGCCAGAACGAGACCCATGACACAACCACTAACATAATACATGGAATGTAGAGCTGGATGAGGTAATAACTGTAATTTAATAACGTTCGCTCTATTTCATCATTTTCCAAATATTTTACTGTCTATGTCAGATAGTATAAAAAGCATTGCTACACAAAGTATTAAAAGGTACCCGCATGGTGTGGTGGTGAACGCGTTAGCCTCCAGAGCGCGTTCGTTGCCCACCGCAGATACCTGCGGTCCTGAGTTTTGCAAATATCTCAGCAACATTGCGGTTGTTTCACACATAATACCCTACCATGAAAAATCATTATAGGCATAAAATTTAATACCGACGAGAATCGCACATTTGGATAATTCAATGTCATAATAGCTCGAAAGACCGACCTTCTATAAACCTCGGCATAGATAGTTGATATATTTATTTATATAGTCTTATAAACTGATCTTCTTAACCTGACGCGAGGTTGGTACAGGTCTTCGTTGTCGTTGTCCTTGTTTTTGATGTTGTTGATCGATGGCTGACGTTTCGGCGACTTCGCTTTCCTCAGAGCCTGGACGTATTTTATATTAGAATACTTTAATTGTTCGGTGAAAAAAGGTTAAAGTATTAGTGAAGATCAAACTTTCAAACAGATGCCATATTGAACAGAAAGGCCACTCACCGTGATGTTACGTGTGGGACTGGCCCACACGTAGTTCACGTGGGGTCGCGAGCAAGACACACCCCGAGGTCAGAGTATCATTTTGAAATAGGGCGCTAGGTCACGCGTGATAGTGAGGCATTTGTCTTTCCGGTTCATCTTTGGATTTTTGAAATCTATCCAAAACGCCTATCCAATCTATCCAAAGTTTTGCGCGTTGATGTTTTTGATTCCTGCGCTAGGATCCGCACATTCACTTCAAAATCATCGCCGTTGTGCTTTTGTGCCCTATGCGTACCTAGAGGGGTGTTTAAACGGATTTTAGCTTTTCCATCTAGATGTTCTTTTATGCGGACACAAAGTGGTCTACCCGTTTCCCCAATATATTCCTCGCCGCATTCGTTACATGAGATCAAGNTCACTTCAAAATCATCGCCGTTGTGCTTTTGTACCCTATGCGTACCTTGAGGAGTGCTTTTTGGCATTCTAAATTTCCCATCTAGATGTTCTTTTATGCGGACACAAAGTGGTCTACCCGTTTCCCCAATATATTCCTCGCCGCATTCGTTACATGAGATCAAGTATATTAACCTAATACCTAAACTCATGCAATCTCGGTCTCTCCCGTTAGACAGATCATACAGTTTTCTGAACTGCACAAACGATCATAGAGACGGTTTCCAACTAACTGACGGCGTAGGGTATTGGTTCCTGCGCGTTCCTTGTTAAAATTGGGTCCGAGTTTTGCAACTAGTCAACCCATTTCTAAAGCAATCCTGCGCAGGATCACGTGTAGTCTACATGAACTTCAAGATCAGCTACGTTACATGGTTAGGCTAGAAAGGTTAGGTAAAGTAGTATCAAGGACGGAACTACCACCAATACCCTTTCCCCGAACTTTCCTTAAACAAGAGCTACCAAAAAGCGATATTGACCCTACATTTCGTTTATTTTCGGACGAAATTCTCCGCATACTTAATCACTACCAAAAACGAAAAAGAAGCCCCAATCTCAAAAACCAACAAAAAAGTGGTATGCACCAGGTTAGAGAGCTTTTGAATTCAAAATCTGTTAGGCTTTCTATTAGTGATAAAGGCGGAGAATTTGTAGTTCTTCCTAGTCAGTTGGATATTAGGATAACAGAGGAGCACCTCAGTGATGTTTCTCTCTATCGAACATCCTCTGAAAAGGAATACAGAAATCAATACCGAAAATTGAATCAAGAATGGGTCAGCACGGCAAAGGCCGCGAGTTTAGAACCTTCAGTTATTTCTCGGCTTAAGAATGAACAGTCGATTTGTCCTGTCCTTTACTTGCTTACTAAAACTCATAAGCTTACTTCAACTGATGATATTATGTCAACGAACCCATCATCATATAAAGTTAGACCTATCATCAGTTGTACAGGCGGGCCAACGGATAGAATAACGTGGTTTCTAAACCTTATCCTAACCCAGCTGCTAAAATTCATTCCAACCCATCTACCTAGCACCAAAATATTTCTAGATCACCTAAGGCGTGCGCAACCAAACAGCACGGTTATAATGGAGTCATTCGATGTTACGTCACTTTATACAACGTGTCCAATGACACCGCAATGCAAACCATTCTCGAGTTGCTCGTAGAGCGTGAAAAGAAAATAAAAACGTAGGGCTTATCGATTGCACAACTAATGACTCTCTTAAAACAGTGTCTTAGTTGTTCAATCAAAATAGGTATATATGGCTTGTAGATTCAACAACTAATGGCTCTCTTAAAACAGTGTTTTAGCCGTTTTAGAAGGCTGGCCATGACACAGCGATTGGCACCAACTCTTGCCACGGCTTTTATATCTGAGGTGGAAGCTTCAGTTCTCGATCACCGACGCTTACTCTACTGTCGATACATAGACGACTGCTTCATCGTCTGTTCCACACAAGAACAGATGGATGAGTGCTTTGAATTGTTAAACCGACAGTCAGAGTATATAAAATTTACACGAGGAAAACCTACCGAGAACTGGTTTCCATTCTTAAACATCCAAATAAAGCTCTCAGTAAGTGGCTATGTAACAAAATAGTATCGCGAGCCAAGTAGTAAAAACATTCTAGTTCACTGCCTCTCCTCTCATCCTTCACACATGAAAAAAGCACTTATCAAAAACATGTATCGTACGGCTAAAAATGTGTGTACAGAAGAGGAAAGGAAGGAATCGCGAAGCCTGGCACGGAAAATTGCCATTTCCAATAACTACGAAGTAGAAGCCACTCGGGTTAGAGAAAAACGTAGGGTGCTTCCCTAAAACAATATTTCGGACGTAAGTAAGATTCTCTCCTTCCTTCATATCAAATGAAGTAAGTCACGCCATTAAAAAGTGCTTAAGAAAAAGTGGTCTTTAAAATAATGTAACGATTATTGACATACCACCCAATACCCTACGCCGCCAGTTAGTTCGAAACCGTCTCTATCATCGTTTGTGCAGCTCAGAAAACTGTATGATCTGTTCCAACGGGAGAGACGGGGATTGCAGGAGTTTAGGTATGCTTGATCTCATGTAACGAATGCGGCGAGGAATATATTGGGGAAACGGGTAGACCACTTTGTGTCCGCATAAAGGAACATCTAGATGGGAAATTTAGAATGCCAAAAAGCACTCCTCAAGGTACGCATAGGGTACAAAAGCACAACGGCGATGATTTTGAAGTGACTGTGCGGATCCTAGCACAGGAATCAAAAACATCAACGCGCAAAACTCTTGAGGCGTTTTGGATAGATTTCAAAAATCCAAAGATGAACCGGAAAGACAAATGCCTCACTATCACGCGTGACCTAGCGCCCTATTTCAAAATGATACTTTGACCTCGGGGTGTGTCTTGCTCGCGACCCCACGTGAACTACGTGTGGGCCAGTCCCACACGTAACATCACGGTGAGTGGCCTTTCTGTTCAATATGGCATCTGTTTGAAAGTTTGATCTTCACTAATACTTTAACCTTTTTTCACCGAACAATTAAAGTATTCTAATATAAAATACGTCCAGGCTCTGAGGAAAGCGAAGTCGCCGAAACGTCAGCCATCGATCAACAACATCAAAAACAAGGACAACGACAACGAAGACCTGTACCAACCTCGCGTCAGGTTAAGAAGATCAGTTTATAAGATCATATAAATAAATAATTCGATGTCAGCTTTTTATTTGCCGCCTATTACATTTTTTCACGGCAGGGTATTATGTGTGATACAACTACAGCGATGCTGCAATATTTCCAAAACTCTGCACCGCAGGTATCTGCAGTGGTGTACTAACGCGCTCTTACCCTTACCGTGGGCTAACGCCTTCACCACCACACAATGCGGGTCCTTCGTTTCGCCTATCAGCTAGTTTTCTATTCTATTCTACCTATTTCTATTTCGGATAATTCATTTTCTACTTTGCGTTTTTGCCCAATTTTCGACTCCTTGGATATTTATTTTTACTATTTTTATTCAGCAACTACCGTGCTTTCATATGTTATACAAAACAGGTGAATGATTATATGCCTAGCACCACATTATGCACTTTAGGCAACTGCGCACTTTATTGATAAGAAATGCCTAACCAGATTATCACATGCTCCGATAATTGAATGGATTGCTTTCATGAGTAGTGGCTCCAGTACATATTCCATTCGCTTCTTTCTCGCGCAATCGTTGTCTATGGTGGTGGTCTGATCCGAAAGATGGTGACATCTGCCAAACACACTTCATGATCCATGATTCCACTCTTTTCCATCTTCGGATGAAAGCGGTTGAGCAGAGTCACAAAACACCTCCTTCCATCGTGTAAGTGGTCGTCCCAGAACAAGCTTGAAACCTCTTGGAATCCGCTTTTGGAGTGGATTTTTGCTTTTCCTTAACCTGCCATTTATCCTTCTCGTTATATGTCCAGTCATTCCAAATTTTTAATTTTCCCAGTTGAAACTTCCATTTGCTTCACCTACTTTTGGTATACGTTCTACTCTCTGTGGGAACTTATTTCATTGTTCCCCAGTAACAAGTAGACGATGGGAGAATATAAGAAGAAGAAGATAACACACTTCTTACATAATCAGGACACCAGGTGGCCGCTTTCCATACCAAAATGCGCATTCATCGATACAATATAGCTTAGTGCAAAAGATCAGACTCTTGTTTTGACTAAAACTGGATACGCAAGCGCTACAATTCATGTTCACTATAACGTTTTTTGTGTGACAATTGAATGGCAGAAAGGTTCCAGGAGCATCACCATTGTCCATCCACTATGTTGAACGTCGTCGTTGTCATATAGGATCCATTTCTCACCTCGTCACAGTCACAATTCGATAGAGAAGTGGGTGATTTTTGCTCTACAAAAGGAGCAAAAAGTAGAAGAGTGATCTCCCTGCGTTTCATTCAATTCATGTACTCATATATACAGCTTGCTCACATTTTCAACGCCTTCCAAATCACAAAAAATTACTGTGATGTAAACAATGGTGAATGGTGATTGATAAACGCAAATATCTCCACAAAATCTCATCTAGTTTGTGCGGGGAGAGACTGCAGGCATCAAATGGCTTACGTAATCTGTTTATAGCCACCCAGGATCTTCCCCATCATGAGCAGTCGTATATTCGGTATGAAACCTTTCGATGCATCTTCGTCCTGGCAGTTCGAAAAGTCCTTCTTGGCCCATGCTTCAGTGAAATTTCCGGATAACATGTAAGCGCGATGATTGAAGATTGATCAGCGTCACATCAACTTCATATTTTAGTCCTCAGCTGCTAATTTGGCACAAAGGGATAGGTGGCACATTGGTAGTGACGTCGATCATCACCAGCACGATGCTGGCTCGTCTCCGCCCCAGGTTCACTAAGTCTCTCATTCCCTCGTGGTCGGAAAATTGGTAGCGGACTTGTTTGGGAAGAACACTCTTTGCAGTGTAAGTGGGAACGCTCTCGCCCGGTATCTCAGAAGTCCAGGAAGAATTAGCATTCGACATTTAAGATGAAATAAAAATCCTAAAGCAGCAGCGGAAGCCACACGTAAAAGTTGGGAGATCTTCGTGGATGATGAGTGCAAGGAAACGAATCGAATGTGAGAAGTGTTGGGAACCGTAAAGTAGATGTGAAAAACGGGTCATATAAAAAAAAAATTGGTGAATGTACTGATTATTATCTGCGACACTTCTCCATTATTAGGTTTGACCTCATTTTTCTATTTCCTAAATAACGTTTAAAGTAAAGGCGGTTCTTGAAATGTAATTTTAACAGCACTAAGATTTTAAAGGTGATTAAGCATTTATATTTGCACCACATATCTGCCCAAGCTATTTGGTTGATGTACCATTCATTTAAAACGCAACTAAAGTGTACTTGTTCCTAGATTTTCCTACTCCTTTGATTATGCTTTCTACTTCAATGTTTCTAGATTTTACTACTAACATTTTACAAGTACCCGAATTGCTGTGCGCGAACATCATCGGAAAACGAATAAGAAAGGCAGGGTAGTCTCACCTGTACTCCCTTCGTAAGAGAAGTAGGACCCGAGCACAACTGTATTCACCTGTAAGTAACTAATAAGGCACCACAGCGAAGATTAGGGACGAAGGAGAATATGACGAGTAAAATTTTATGGAGAGCGCACGGTGAGTAGATTTGCCATGCTTCACACCAGGTAGACAGCCCAATATAACACTGAAAGTCATGAATTTCACAGACAGCAGGTTCGCGACTAAATGAAAAGTCGCGAACCTACCATTAAAACAGGCGTATCCAATAGGGAACACCTAAACAGACAAGCATTTTGCGGACGTACGGACAACTTGACACATAAAGAGAACATTTATTGAGATTACCAGACGGGAAACGACGTCGATCCGTTTCGAGCGCTCTTTGTAGCGTTGCACGAATACACCGCAACAGAATGACGTCCTCGGTTGACTTGCCGACAAGAGTCGATAGCAGTCGTGTGGCAGTTGCTTCATCTGAAGCACTTACAGGACTAGACGACAGGCTCTTGCAGTACTCCTACAGGCACGCACCACGCGCTGACTGCAGCTCGTCATATCCTTGCGTGCGGCGTAGTTCACCAATGCGAATTCGAGCAGAGCGCCAAAGATAAACGCCAAGCACACACCGATCCACACATCAATCGCCTTAATAGCCGTATCTTGGCCGACGGGTTATCGTTCACGTCATACTACACCAGCCTAGAAGCTTCACCCAGGTTGACAGTCTGTGCGCGAAATCGGCTCGGTATCAAGCATTGAACGAGCGAAATTGTTCATCTTTAAGTGTGAACGAAAACCCCCTTTAAATGTCAACGAAGACCTTAGACCCTAGTATGGGACCGTTGTGGGCAATCCCTTCAAAACATATTACTACTTCTATTCCAAAATATGCTATAGAAAAACAGGCGTCCTAAGGAAATCAGAAGAACTATGTAATATTAAAGATTCTTAAAGAATCGATATCATGAACGCCATCACATGAAATAAGAAGTGGTATCGAAATAGTGGTCGGAGGAGCCCTGTAATACACATGGGATCGATCTCCGCGCCCATGGTTCACTGTTTTCCGTTCTTCAGGGGTGGGCAAATTGATACCAGACTTATCTGGGTGGATACTAGCACTGGCTCGATACATCATTAGACTACCGCGAGTCATTTTATAGGTTAGATATGCATTCAGTCGCCTGTAAATGCTTAACGAAGTCGAGTGCACGGGGCACCCCTCAGGGATAGGTCAACGCCTTATCTTTTGTATCAAAACATTTTTTAAGGGACCCGTCTTTCAACCGTCCTTCTCTTTCTGGTTTTAGCATGGCCGTCGACAAGTATTTCTGAAAGTTGCAGTTCAAACAAGTCCAGAATGACTGCTATCGTGTCTTGCCCAAGTTGGCGCAGTACAGACGCCTGAACGTTAGTGATTTAAACAGTGGAATTAGCAATCATGCCTTCGTGTAGCTGACCGGCGGTAGCTTAGCGTTGATACCGGAACTCTAAAAATGAAGTGTTACTCTAGTAACAGTGGGATGTTATTCACATTGACATTGACAACACATAAAACGATGAATAAAGGCTTTCCTGGGTGGTCATGGTTAGCAGAGTGGTGACACCTGAAAACACATCTCATACAAAACATAAAGTACGAATAAAAGCCTAAACAAGCCAAGCACTCCGACCAAGTGCCCAGCAGCGCTTCTCGCATGAAGCCGGTTGACTGGCACCATGACATGAGTTAAGGAGTGAGGTCATAAGATCAGACGTACACTACAACTTCTCTACTTAACGAAAGCTTCGAGCACGCTCTGATATGAGAACTCTGGATGTCTCAGTTAAAGTTGAGGTAGACTTTTCAGATGCTAGAACGATCATTCAAATTGAAAGCGAAGCTGAATGAAAAATATTACATCAACTACTTATTGTGCCTAAAGTAGCTATAGTTAGAACTACTGTAGGATTGTGATGCATGACTTTTTTGAACGAAATTTGCGCCCACGTTTCTATGGTTATCCATCCTCGAAAATGTGCAAACTTTCAAAACCCTTCATTACTTCGCATTGTTGTAGAATTTCTACAGAAAATCGAAAGAAAAAATGCCCATGAGAGTTTTCCGTATCGAGCATTTCAAGTTATTCAGCACGAATATGAGAATTTTCACTCCTCAGCTATAAAAAGGTGCCAAAAGTGAATAAATATATTTATGTTGCTCTCTGACTAAAACAAAAACGACCAGACGTGGAATCGGACTATTGGACATTACTGGGGAACAACGTAATATGAATGCTGACACAATCGCCGACACGATGCGCCTGATACCGCTGTGTGATAAGTACCGTACCTAACGTCACTCGTGCCGGAACCGAATCTTTGTCGAGCCAGAAGGACACCCAAGAGACAATGACAAGCATAAACGAGGGAATATAGAGCTGAAACGTTTAGATATAAGAACAGAGGAGGAGACTAGGAATGGAATTGTAGTAAACAATGACACATACACGTGAACGCAAAACACTACGGACTAGAGGACCGAGCACTAACTAGGACACACCTGCAACAAATAATAGCTGAACTCGCGACGTAGCACCATCTGAGTACGCAGACACGAGTACTCTCCTAAACACAGCATAGCATGCTGATACGATAGAACAATCTGCACGACAAGATCGAGAATCGATTAAGCGAAAAGCCGGAAGCGAATGCGCTAAGGAGCCAAAACAACAAGAACTCTAGCACTACGACGAGGAGGTGGCCGACTATGCATACCCGTATTGGTTTTACTCGTGCAATATTTGGTCACGACGTCTTGCAGTTCGAAACTCGGCAACGACTGTCGCAAACCGTCCTTTTGTTGCACTGGATTACTGGCCTTCCATTCGTACTTGATGTCTTGCGTTGTATACGCATCTGAAACAGCAACAGTTGAATGCTCAACGTGAATTTAAGCAATTTGTCTATTCATATTTCGTTTTCTAACCAATTCTTTATAAAATTAACGAGAACCCTTGGCTAGGAATAATAACGATGAAATTTTGTATCGACAGGTCAACCAATGGATTTCGAGACGTTATAGAGATTTGATAATGATGCTCTGAGTGCTAGTGTTTAGAAACATGTTGTAAATGAGTTAACAACAAACACCCACTTGTCGACCCCTTGTTCCGCTAATCATTCAAGTGTGCACAGGTTTTAAGTTCATTCGTTTCCGCCGCGCAACAGTCCCGCTCATTGGACCCTCTCCTTGGCTACCCTCGGCTCGAAGGATATGAAAGGCATCCCCATTTCGCCATGATACTCGTTTTCACTGTAGCTTTGTGGGCTCTAATATGGTGTAGCAGCTGATCTTTTTCGAATATCGAACATTCAATTTGACAGATCCCGCTGGTGGATGAACCAGCTCTACATTGTAGTTCGACACAATTACCATCATCCACAATAGAGCGGTAAATCTTTGGAGAGTTTCAGACAGAGCGGAAACCATTAATTCTTATCATGGTCAGTAAACATACTAATCATTAATCCTTCACAGTTCGAAATTTTACTACCTAAATTCCTTGTCAAACAACGGAATTCCATCAGATTTATATCGACCCGATCTAACATGGCTTCCGCTTCTGTTGTAAGATAAATTATGGTTTCCGGAGCACTATTAAGCACTTGATAGTTTTCTTTCGCAGAAAATCTTCATCGAAATCGTCTCATCATCAACAGATTTCATCTTGCGAGATTTTTTTTCACATGAAGCACCCGTTACGCTCTTACATATGTATAATTTTCTTGATGTAGAGCGTAGTACTTCCACTCCGTCTAATATTGTGATTGTAACTTGTCTAAATTATTTCCCATCCATCACAACTATGTGAAATGATTCAGATACGGTTGAAGGTTTAAGCTTGAAAACTACGGCGGTTATTATGGCCTAGTTATTACATCGTATTTTTGCGATGTTTCTTTGTAAAGTTGATACAATGTTGTATGAAGTAAAACGAAACTAATGAGGTTAAATGATAGCTAGAAATCGTTACATGAGGCTAGATCTATGAGACAATTTTGGCGATCCAATGGGTAGAACTCCAGCGACATCGGACACGACAGCACCAGTGACAGCCTGCAAATCTCAAGGTTAACGTTTTAAAAGTAAATGATTTTGGTTTTACAGAAAAGGGTCGTAAAGGCAATACGCAGCCTTTATACTACGAATCAACTGAAGGCGAGGAAATCAGCTGTGTCTTTATGAATTATTCGGTCTTGTCTATAAAAAAATCCTTAAGAACCTGTGCCTTTCTAGTTAGTAAATCACTGGTGTAATAGATATTGCTGGTTGGTGCACACACACACATCTGTAAGGACACTATAATTCTTGTCTCTATGTAAATTAACACACGGAGTTCCCTCATATGAGGGATCTTGAGCAGGTTAGTTGCGAGGCTATGTAGCGCGTCCCCAAGTCGCCGATAGGGAGTTAATCGCGTACCAAAAGCGACCTTTGCTTTCATGAGACGTAGGTGGATTCAGAGGATGCACTCCCTGTTTCTCTACGCTGATCTGGCACATACTTTCCGTACTTATGAGGTGTATTCATGAATGCGTGCGTGGGTGTGTTCTCGTTTTGCGGATTGCATTATGCTAGTCAGTACGACGAAAAACGTGCAATCAAGTGACTGGGAAGTATATGGGAGGCGGTTAGGAGTCGCCTCCAACAAATAAGCTCCACGTCCACTCTGGGAGAGCCTGGCAAGCTACCCGTGAGTATACCTAGCCCCCGTGTTTAGAGCCCAGCAAGCTATACGTGGGTATGAAAATGCCAAACACAGTAAAAAGAAACGGGACTCATTCCCCTGACCCCGAAAGAGCCCTAATTCGGCAGTATTGGGTAGGACGAGTACGGCTGCTAACATCTCAGGGCCAATGGAAGCTGCCTGGATTTCAAAGAACTATGGTGACGATCTGTACCTACAATGCACGTACACTTGCATCTTCGTCGTTTACGCGCCGACATCAAACTATAACGAAGAAGAAGTCGAAGCGTTCTATATGGACTTGAGGAAGTTCTACAGAGAAGACCATACACTCTTCAAGGTCATCATTATAGATTTCAACACCAAGACTGGAATAAGAAGAACGTCACATTGGGACCCATGGATTAGAATGGAACGAACAGGGTGAGCAGCTGTCTGAGTTTATCACGGCGACCAAGAAAAACCATGGTAACTCGCAATTCCAGAAGCCCCACCCTCAACGCTGGACGTGGGAGTTTCCCAATGGGAAGTACCATAACGAAAAAGACCACATCATAGTAAATAGAAGGTTTTGCCTAACCGATGCCGCTGTTGTCCCAAAATTATACATGGGATCAGACCATCGTCTCCCTCGTGCAAGATTCTCGCGGAAAGGAGAAAGAGCGCTGAATTCAAAAAGCAAAGTGCCAAAACCACCATAAACTGGGACTTATTCAATCCATTGGTCGGCTGTTGGGAAGATGCCGTTGTCGAAAACATCAACGAAGGATACGATCGGCTCATTCAACATCTCCACGTTAGCGCTATGAAAACTGACAGTTCAAAAGTCACCAAGACACTCTGTCGCCATAAACACTCGAGTTTATACGCCAGCGAGGAATCGCACGAGCTGCAGACAACCGCGAACTAGCGTCCGAACTTGCAAAACAATACAGACAGGCAATAAAAGAAGATCTTAAAGAGAGAAGAGCAGCAGTAATGGCCGAAGCTGCAGAAACTAGGAAAAGCCCATCGAAACTTCACCAATTACAGGACCAAGATTTTTGCACTCCGACACCCAGACGGAACAGTTACAGCGTCCAGAAATGCAGTGGAGAAAATCATTCACGAACACTACGCAGATCCCTTCGATAGCCACGTCCACCTTCCGTCATATGAAATAAAGGGGGATGGATATGTTGCACCATCGGTTCTGTCTTCCGAAATCTGACATGTTCTTTCGTCGGTGAAAAATCGAACAGCACCAGGTCCGGACAGGATAAGATCTGAACAACTGAAGAACCTCCCACCAGTCATAAACACGCTGGCTTGGCTATTTACACGTTACCTGTCTGAATGCAAGGTCCCTACTCAGTGGAAGACCAGCAAGACCGTGTTATTGCTCAAGAATGGTGATCTCCACCATATTGGCAACTATCGCCAAATCTGCTTGCTGTCTGTCGTCTACAAACTCTTCACACGTGTCATCCTAAACAGGATTGACAGAAGACTGGACGAAGAGCAGCCATATGAGGAAGCAGGGTTTCGAAAACGATTTAGTACCATGCACCACATCCACACGATAACAAGGCACATCGAAGTATCGCGAGAGTACAAAAGACCGCTCCGTCTCACTTTCATCGATTTACAGAAGACCTTTGATTCAGTTGAGATAGCAGTCTTGGAAGCCCTTGATAGTAAGGGAGTCCCTATTCAGTACATAAAGATTCTTCGTGAGCTGTACAAAAATTTCACAACCAAGATAACACCATTTTACAACAATATTAACATCGACGTCAAAACAGGGGTTAAGCAAGGTGATACCATTTTGGCAAAATTATTCACCCTCACTCTCGAGAACGTCATGCGAACGTTGAAATGGGCTAATATGGGAGTGAAAATCGATGGCCGACAATTACACCATTTTCGTTTTGCTGATGAGACATCGTCCTTGTAACACCAAACATTAACCAAGCGGAACGTATGCTTGCCGACTTTGATAAAGGCTGTAGAAAGATTTGTCTTCGACCAAATCTCATAAAAGTGATGTTCATGAAGAACGGATTGGTTTCGTATGACCCATCTACGCTCAAGGGAACGAATATCTCCGAATGCTTTAGTTATGTCTATCTAGGTCGGGAAATCAACATATTGAACGACTTAGCTTCAGAGTTGAGCAGAAGAAAACAAGTGGCTTAGGAAGCTTTCAAGAGCACCGGAGATGTAGTGAGGAAAACAAAGAACACCCGACTCCGTGCACACCTTTTCGACTCAACGGTACATCCTTCCCTAACATATGCGTCAGAAACCTGGCCGCTGCGTAACCAGGATGAAAGGCCACTCAGCGTTATCGAACTCGCAATGGAAAGGACGTTACTAGGAGTATCCCGTTCCACACAAGTAAGGAATGAAGCTCCGACCTGCGTCAACGATCAAAAATCAAAGATGCCGTTCTGCACGCCAAACAGTCGAAGATAAGGTGGGCCATACACGTAATGCGTATGAGTGACAACCGATGGACAAGAGCCGTTAGTGACTGGATTCCTTGGAATGTTAAACGCACTGCAGGAAGACCACCGACCCGATGGTTAGAGTTCTTCACGAAAAGTCTAGAAGAAAGATATAATGCTCGACGATTCTCTAGAGCGAACAGAACCCACTGAGCTACTCTAGCACGCGACAGGGAAAAATGGAAGATTTACTGGCTCCCACTGGAGTCACTCGAAGATTATCGGGACTACAAGTGATACAGGTGATTCGCTTTCGTCCTTTGTTTTGTCTCATATTTTGTGGTCTTCTTTTGTTAGTAGTCTTTTAGTTGTTACTGTAGTAAAGTCTCACGTGCGCTTATAAACAGCGAATTATGGAAGAGTTGTGTTGACATTCCAACATCAACCCATGAAAAGAACAATAACTGAGCATTGTATATGGGCTGCCATAAGTTCTGAAGGTGACCATTGCAATGCAAGGTCCTCATTGGTGATTTCGACAGGAGAGTACCATAATGATACGGACCACTTCACAATAAGTGCAAGGTTTTACATAACTTGCCTAGGAATTTTTGAAAAATTCTTCAGGACTAAAAAGTAAGAAAGGGGAAAAAAGCTCATTCGACACTTTCACAATATAACTACAAATCCCAGAGTTTAAAAAAGACCAAGAGACGCATGTGTCCGGTCACAGCGCCATACCTCGAGACTGCAGTGCAGTCTTGATAAAACTGTTCACAATGACCTTCGAGAACATCATGCAAACGGATAACATGGGTGTTAAAATTGCTCTTGACTAAGTTTCAAAAGACGATATTCATGAAAATTGGTTTGCCTCCTGATGCCCCGTTCAGGTCCGATGAAATAAACATCTGCGAATGTCATAGTAATGTGCAGCTCGTTCGAGAAAAGCTGAGCAAAAGGAAACGGCCTGGAGAGTTTTCAAGAGCATCAAGGATATATTGCACAGGACAAGGACCACCAGATTCCCTGACCACCTTACCAATAATCCCAGGCTCTATCGAGACAGTGATGCTGTGAGTATTCCCGTATCACACAGTTGAACGCGGAATCGGAAGTTCCGAACTACGTCAGCGATCAAAAATTAAAGACAACGATCTAGACGCGAGAATGCCTAGAATCAGAAGGGCCAGAAACGTGAGGTATGTGACTGGATTCCTCGGATTGTCAAACGTACAGCAAGAAGACCACCGACTCGATGGTCAAAGTTCTCGAAGAGAACTGTAGAACGGAGATTTGATCCTCAACGAGTCCCCAGGGGGTGGTAATCTTGAACGCAGCAGTGAGAAATTGATGGCTCACCGGCGTCCGTTCGAGTTATTCAGAGATCAACGCGACCACAGGTGATGCAGATGGTAGATACGCTTAACTATTAGCGTCGTGAGGGAAGGCGAGATGATGCTACGGCTGCTAGCCGAAACTGGATCCAGTCCTTCAGCAGGAAGTCCGTTAGTTATCTGCATCATCTTTTATTCCGCTTATAGGGAAGTGGTTAGAGCAGACACCAGCAAAGTGTTCCGTATTGCCTGTCTCGTATAAGAGGTGCACTCCGAGATCATTTCCCTTGAAACAAGCGAAACGCATCAATATTTTTCTTTCCTTCATTCTTCGTTCAGTGGATCGAATAGCGCGCTCCATAGTTAAATCTCATCGGAGTCGAGTTTCGAGGGCTGCGGGAATCGCGGGGTAGCGCAGGACCATTGTGCTGTGCAGGCAGTGGACAGTGTTTAACGCATGTTCCATGGAGTCGTTGTTGTTTGTTTCTAAAAAATTAGCTGCTAAAGCATCGAACTGATTTTCAGAGTACTCTAATGGTTGACTCGTCGCAAGTAGAACAGGCGTCCGTGGAGATTGATTCCCGAAAGGAATTAATACTGCGGAACCTTCAAGTACGTACATTTATAGTTATTGTGTGTTTTCGACTGGGTAACTCTACTACAACATTAAGGAAGCACTTGGTGTTGATAAATTGGGGAAACAGCTTGGAATTCATGGAAAAATTCCTCATGTATACTGGGGCACGGCAACAACTGGCAGACCTCATGTTGGATATTTCGTTCCCATACGAAAAATTGCCGACTTTTTGCAGGCGGGCTTAAAGGTCTGTTGGTTTCCTCTTACGTTCACTCTGCACTAAGTTATCTCTGATCTGTTCGTTTTATGTCACCGTACTTTTTGCGGATTTGCACGCTTTTCTCGACAACATGAAAAGCACTTGGGAACAGCTCGAAAACAGGGTCATCTACTATGAGAGCGTTATAAAAGCTCTTCTGATGTCACTAGGTGTGCCGATTGATCGACTTAATTTTGTACGAGGCACCACTTATCAATTATCTAGGTAGGCAGCTAGCTAGTATTCATCGTATGAACTTTTTTGGTTATATATTAACAAAAGATAAAGGGTAAAGCTCTTGGCGTTGATCAATTCCTAAGGGATGCGCCATGCATTCTACTTCATTAAGCATTGTTAGAGATGACTGAATGAATATCTGGCCTTTACAATGACTCACGGTGGCATACCGGTGATTTATCGAGCCAGTGTTGTAAGTCTGGTACCAATTGAAATGTAAATCTTGGTGAAACTGGCGCGCAGGATCGATCCCATGTGTTTTGCATTCTCTAACCAATGCGGTGTACGCTCCGCTGGTTATATATTGCGTTTGAAAATTTCGTCCTAACTTTCCATTTCGAGTCTTACAATAACTTTAGGGAGTACACCCTTGATTTGTTTCGTCTATGCGTACAGGTATCGCATCGAGACGCTCTGCGAGCTGGAGCAGAAGTTGTGAAACAGGTTGGTACTTAGTGACATTTCTATTTTTTTTTTCGCAGCTTTCCCGATTTTCTCATCGTCGTTTTAAAAGAGCTTTTCAGGTTGAATCTCCTTTGTTGTCAGGTCTTCTTTATCCCTTACTGCAAGCGCTTGACGAGCAATATCTCAAGGTTATTTCTTCAATACTACTTACGTTTCTTTCCTAGTATCGGTTATGATCTCTTTTACGAGTAGTATCAGCTAATCTTTCTTCCTATTTTCAATTATTTCAATTATTATTTCAGTTATTATGAAGCCCGAGACCGCCGACTAACTGTTCTATGCTGTTTTATTTAACGTCTTACATAAAAACCATTCTTATCAAGGTAGATGGACAGTTTGGAGGCGTGGATCAGCGAAAAATCTTCATTTTGGCAGAGGAGCAGCTACCAAAGTTGAAACTTGGGAAGCGATGGCACTTAATGAACCCGATGGTGCCGGGCTTAACTGGTTCCAAAATGAGCAGGTCTTCTTTCATTGGTTATTAGTTTTTATAGGTTTCTCATACGTTAGACTTTCCTTGTTATTGATTGTTCTCTTGTAGATCTTTTCCAAAGTTGTATTTTAGAGATCTCTTACGACTTTCATTCCATGCATTGTTTTAGTTCGGAAGCGGACTCGAAAATAGATTTGCTAGATAGCCATGAAGTAGTAGAACGAAAAATACGAGCTGCGGTTTGCAATCGACAAGAAGACGGTAATGGAGTTTTGGCGTTTTTCAATTTCGTTCTATTTCCGATTGTCAGTCCTGGCTCATTAACGGTCGCCAATAAGTAAGTATTTATCTCTGAAGTTGACATTTAAAGCATGTGACCTCTTTATCCCTAATTCAGAGATTTTTTTACATACGAGGACCTCAGGGATTCATTCCTAAATGGAGATTTGTCAGAAGAAGACTTGAAAACTGTTCTTGTCGAGTTCATTAATGAATTACTTATTAAGGCGAGGGTTGTGTTTGATTAAGTACATCGTTTGTTGCAGTTGCACGAGCGACTCGTGGTTCGCTGATATCATTCGTTTTGGCAGAAAATCGAGCCACTTTATAGGTTTTCTTTAGGTGCAAGGACACTGTAAATCTGATATTGTCCGAGAAGCACTAGAAAAGGGATACGAGGAAGTGAGCAGTCGTGTAGTCAGGCCTAGTGTTCAAAGGGTGGTACATATAAGCGATGACCAGCTCCATGTGGTTAACCAGATCGTTAATGGTGATAAGGTGATTTCGGAGTTTCCTTTTTTTATATTGGCCGAAATGGTCTATGATGCTTTTAATTATGACTTCCTTTTTACCCAACTGGACTTGAATTGAGTATGGCAGATCACCGATGAGTTGGTTGACCGGTAGGAATCCTTATCTCGTAGTAATATTATTCCTAAGCGAGCATACTGCGCTCTGGTGCACAAGCACGTTTGCATATGTAAATGATGTGAGAGCGCTTTAGTATGGTTATCGCAGTATTCGAAGGCAAATCACCCTGAATTAGCACTAAGCATGTGAATATGGAAAGTGGATGATATATCCTCAAAGAGGACTGGACTCCGCGCATCATGTAGGCGTGGGTCGTATTATATAAGTTTCCATGTTTATCTAATTTGTTTAGCAATACCATCTCCAGGGATTTAGGGACGCGTGTAGCGCATTGGTCAGAAGCTCCCTGCAATACACATGGAATCAATCTCCGCGCCCAGTCTCACCAAGCCCTCTATCCCGAGTAGAAAAATTCGTGCTAGACTTGTCTGGGAGGATAATAGCACTGGTTAGATGTATGGCTAAGCTATCGCAAGTCTTTACACGGCAGATATGCATTCAGTCACCTTCAACGATGCTTAATGAAGTCTAATGCATGGCGCATCCATCAGGCATTGATCAGCGCTACGAGCTCTATCTTTTATCCCCTTATCTCCTGAGAACTAGCTATGACTCGTGGTTATAACCAGTGGGAAATTTGCTCACTTCCCAAATTTGCCGAGCAGAATTTTTTACCGAATTAGATACTGCACTTTTACATTAACACAGATAACGTGAAGCGTACGAATATCCGTAGTTAGTTTTTGTTCTTTTGTCATAGAAAACGGGTTTTCAAAGACATAATGGGACATGAAGGCATCTCATCGGGGAACTGTGGAACCCACATGCACAGGAGGAAATCTCGTAATGCCACAGGAAGTAGGTGCGATAATGCTAGAATCCTTTATCGTAAACGTTCATCCATATCACAGCGATGGCAGATATTTGCTCTGCTCAACCTTAGGAGAGCTGAAACTGTGCAATAAAAGAATCGAAAAGCAGTACTTGTTTCGTTTTCTTGTTCAGCAATCGCGAGGTTTTTAAACAGCATACATTTACCTTCCATAGAAAAAACACAATACAATACAACACTAGCTGACGTTTCGGTAGTATCGCCTTCTTCAGAGCCTGGAAGGACACTGATATACAATCTACAAGGCCAAACGCCTCAATAACACTTAGACAAAGACGAAAAACTCTATGGCAATTACATGATCAACAGCTTTTCGAAAAACTCACCGCTTTTCTCGTGACTTCCAATGAGGAAGTTTAGAACAGCTGGTTATAGTCGCATATGGTTGACGACTGCTCCATCCCACATCAAAAATCGACGCTAACATACGGGTGAGGTCGCATATGACTTCCGGGCATTCATCCCTGCTATCATTGCAGGGTTTTGATGTGGCATAGTGCAGTCGTCAATCATACGCGACTATAATCAGGTGTTCTAAACTTCCTCATTGGAAGTCACGAAAAAAGCGGTGACTTTTTCGAGAAGCTGTTGATCATGTAATTACCAAAGAGTTTTTCGTCTTTTTGTAAGTGTTATTGAAGCGTTTGGCCTAGTAGATTGTATATCAGTATACTCTTTCAGGCTCTGAAGAAGGCGATACTGCCGAAACGTCAGCTAGCGTTGTATTCTATTGCGTTTTTTCTGTGGAAGTAAATGTATGCTGTTTAAAAACCTCGCGATTGCTGAACAAGAAAACGACGCATTCATATCCCAATGCCGAGATTAATAGAAAGTCGATCCTGGGAACTATTACAAGCAGCACTTGTTCTCACGTTGCAGTGATAATTAACTATGCATTGGGCGCCCTTAGGTGGTTTTTTTTCCATGCAATGTATTTTGTACGTATCATACCTTCGAATTCTGAGCTTGGAAACCGTAACATCTGTGGGTTAGTCATGCATAGCAGGGTTCTTGAAACAAGGAATTTGTTGGTATATATTCTACCACCTCAATTTTGATGAGAATGTTTAAGCAGTACTATATGAACCTAGGCAGTACATTTGAATTCAGATTATTAATGGTGACGACCTCGCTTTGCGCTCATGTGTAGCAGAAGACCGAAGTATTCGAGTGACATTTACCATTCACCCCAAAGGCCGCTTTCACCTAGGTTTCGTTTTGGGCTTGCTGAAAATGAAGGTAGTTTTTTCTAACCTCTATAACATCGTTCGAATTGTAGTTGACATAAGTGTCTTGTTATGAATGTGTCGTTTTCTTGTTCAGCAATCGCGAGGTTTTTAAACACCATACATTTACTTCCATAAAAACAATACAATACAACTCTAGCTGACGTTTCGGCAGTATCGCCTTCTTCAGAGCCGCTTTTTCGTGACTTCCAATGAGGAAGTTTAGAACAGCTGATTATAGTCGCATGTGGTTGTCTTGTTATGTTTAACGTTATGTCTGCTTCGTTGCGATATTACAAATGCAGAATGTAGGCAGTAATTCCAGTAGAATTTCTAATGTGCTTTCCTTTAGTCCTTAGTCAGTCAAGGTATTGACATTGAAGGAGTCGTGTTGATTTCCGATATGGAGGCTTTTCTTGACAACGAGAAGGTTGTTTTCTCTAGACATGAAGTTCGTGATCCTTTTTAGCGAGGTTTTTTTTATTCTGCACAGGTAAGTTGGAGTGCTCGTGAAGCCAGGACTGAATATTTCTCACAAGTATGCACCGTTTTCATTAATCTACTTGGACTGAAAGAGAAAGTGAGAGCCGTGAAGGCTACAACGCTGGACTCCATGTTCTCACAGTGAGTGCCAGTTTCCTCCTTTGTTTTGTTTACCATTAGTTCCTCTAATATCAGTTATAAGCAATCAGAAAGTATTTAAGGGATTATGTTCTCAACATGTACAAAATGGCCTCCTCAGTAACTCGTGATGAGACAATGGTTACTGAAGGTACGTCTCACAGATGTGTTTAGTTACTACACAACTTTTAGTTTTCATCATATGTTAAAGTCCTAAGCATTCCATTTGAACTAAATTTAATATAGACCTGTCCTTATTGCATAGGTACCTCACTTGGCGGCAATTTGATCCCCTTACTTTATGCGCTCAGTCATCATGTACTCAAGACGGATCTTGCTCTTATTGGAGATGATTCAATTGCAATTGCAAATGTCGCAACTAAGGTTTGTTGTGATAGTGATACTGAATCCTTTTTCGGCTTTGTATCATTGTATCACATCAGCTGTGGTCATGTTTGGGACTCAATTCTCCCACACAACTGGCGTTTCCAGTACTCATTGGATGTGATGGAAAGAAGATGGCTTGCTCAGCTCCTGATTTTCTGTTAGATCCATTTGATACTCCCAAACAGATCAAAATGAAATTGGCAAGGTGAGTGTTTTCTTATTGTTTTAACGAATCGCTAGCATGAATCCAAAGTCTAAGTGTAAAACCATACGACAGATCATTCTGTGAACCGCAGAATTTGGAAGGAAATGTGGCAATGTTCTTAGCAAAGCAACTGGTCTTTCCTCTGCTGTCTAGTGAAGGTACACAGGTTTCTTTTTTTATCGGATAGATCATGCAAATGTGTTGAAGTCGAGTACTTCGAAGTCAAATTATCGACTGCTTGGAGCAGTTCTGTTGTACAAAGATATAGACTACTGATTTTGTAGGATGGCTCAGAAATCAGCTTCCGATTTGTAGTCTCATTGTTCCTTTTTAGCAACAATTTTTTTCCAAAGCTCATTCCATGCACTTTCACCTCTTGTAATTGAATCATAATATGTTGTATAATTAATAATAATAACAATAATAATAATAAATAGTAAATAGTAATTAACAATAATTAAACACACGAATTGTAATGGTTAGAATTTCTGAGGTCAAGAAGCAGTTTCGACAAATTTACTTTGACGAATCCAAAATAGGAAGTGCGCAGCGCAAATGGCCCGAAAAGTTAATAAGATATGAGGACGAAAAAGTGTTAGCAAACATATGTACAACGTTGGTCTTAAAAATTCCGTCATAGCGAACTCAACCCCGAAGATGAGGGAGATCGTGGACGTACATCTGCTTTTGGGGACGATGAATTGAAGGGTATGATGGGTGTGAATACACGTAAAACTGCTGCGGAACTTGTATTATGTAAGCATAAGTGGAGAGTCGAAGGCCGGCAAAAGGATGCTTCACAAATTGGATGACATCAAAAAACCACTATTCTGTATTATCGTCAGGGTTTTTTTTTATCCAACCAGAACGAGCCGTTTCTCGACTGTATTGTTACATACGACAAAAAATGATTTCTTTATAACTGGTAACGATCGGTCCAGTGGTTGGACTGTGACGATGTTCCACAGCACTTTCTTAAGCCGAAATTGCAACGAGAGAATGTCGCGTTGACCGTTCGATGGTCTACAGTAAGTTTGATCCATAATAGCTTCCTGAATTCTGATTAAACGAATGCGACACAGAAGTACATCTAACGAATCGACGAACTACGCCAGAAACTTCCACGGTTCTACCTCGCATTGGTCACCAGAAAGGGACCAATACTCCGCGATAACGCGGAGCCGCATGTCGCACCACGACGCTAGAAAAAAGTTGAGCAAACTGAGCTACAAAATTCTGCCTTGTTCACCATACTCGTTCTCGCCTACTGAATACCGTTTCTTCAAGCAAAACTTCCTATCCGAGAAATGCTTCAGGATGCGGACTCAAACTGGAATTGTCTTCAACAACTTCATTATTTCTAGTCCAGAATTACATGCAACTAGTGTAAATAAACTTATTTCTCGTTGGCAGAACTGTAGATTCTATTGGTGTTTGTTTCGATCCATAGTGTTTATTCTCGACTGAGATATCGAAATTTGGAATTACAGGTTTAAATAGGACGTTAATTTCTCAAAATCCTAATACATATCAGGTATGTCGCTTTGGAAGATCCGTTACCAAAAAGACGTATTTCTAGCAAGCAAACCTTCTATTGTGAGCAATTAGTATATTTTCAGCCTTTTATATTAAAAGGAGTGTTGAGAATGGTGGTGACCTAAGTGTCAAGTCATACGACGATCTGGAACATGAGTTTGTATGCGGCTCTAATCCAGCATTTCCTCTTCATCCTGGAGATTTGAAGAGCGCCGTTGTTGGATTCATCAATGAGTTCGTTTGCATGCTGCTAAGATATAAACACCAGCGTTTATGGCTCGTGGTCATATTTATATTTCAGTAATCTAGCTATATAATCTTAGGTGGGGTGGATATCATTTCATTGTTTTGACCATTCCTGCGTATAAGCTCATGAGTCATAACGTTGAATTGATATGTCTCGAAAATTGCTATACGATGCATTATTTCAATATTACAGATTCGTCAATCCTGTCCGAACTCATTTCGTTCCTACTCAAGCTTCACTTCTTTCAGCAGCTTTCCCCAGTGGAAAGAAAGGGAGGGGGTGAGAGCACATTGAGTTCCAAGTGTTAGGTCATGATGAAATATCATCCGAAATATACTCAACCTCACTTTGTGGCTTCTAATGTATTTTCGCTGAAGAGAACGTGTTGAGGTGTGTATTTGGGATTGTTCTTGATTTACGACATTTTTGAATGTTTTGTTTGTTTCGGTACACACATGAGATAAGTGTATACCTTGAATCGGTTTCAATGTATAATGTATTTTCTTTCCGGTGGTTTATTTTCTAGTGATTTCCTTTTTTTGCTACGCTTTTTCTATCCGGTTGATATCCACACCTCTACAAGTATTGTACTAGGCGTGGTTCAAGAAAAGTTATTTCGTTTAAAAATTCACAAAAAACTTTTTGAGGTGTTTTTTTTCGCGTAGTTACAAGGAGTACTTCTAGTTAAAAGGTACAAAGGTATCTCTACTGACAAGAGTACCACAGATAAGACTAACCCATAACGCACCCTTATAGACGCTATAGTGTCCATATCAAGTTTATTGGGTTCCATGGTTTTTTTCATTGCACTATATACATTCATTGGACAGCTAATCGAAAGAAGATCAAAGTGGTAGGGGTAAGATTAGAAAAACCTTTCTCTACACTTAATTATTTATAAAACTCTTCTTCCCGCAAAAGTTCATTGGCAGATAATTTAAACAACGATTAACAACTGTTCTTTCATATTAATCGCTATGGTCATCATATGAAATGTGTGGATAAAAAAGGGCTGGAATAGAAGTAAAAGAGGGTGCGAAGTACTTCCAAGCGCTGGCAGCAATGTATTTGTGTAATGGAATGTACTAAAAACAGTAAATAATGGCATGCATATCATTCACATCCATAGAACGATAGAGCAGAGGAATTACTCCGTATCAGTTGGGCCAACCACGATATAGGTAGTGGACGTTGTGGGTTAATAACATATCGCCGCTGCACGGATGGCGTATGCCTAGAGTTCATTACATACTCCCTAGGGTTATAAGTTAAGTGTGGTCCCAAGCTGGCGCCACGGAAACAGCAGTCTTCGCGATGTGTTGAGCGGTGAGGCCGATGGTTGCTGAGAAGGTTCACAGATAGAGCTGTTATCGTTCGCTGCCCTTCTTTCGTTTAAGAATTTGTTGAAATATTTGTAAACAGCTTTTTAGTGAGAACTAATAAGTTCATGCTGCGCTTACTATGCGGTTGTTTGGATATCGTTACGTTCAAATTCCTTGTATTATTTGACATCGCTCCTGTTTTTGCCACTGACACTACTGTCTGTGTGGAAGGTCAGGGTGATCTTCGGAAACCATACTCTTTCCATGCTATTTCTTCCATTCGCTTATTTATTTCTAGTATTGGAGCTAAGTTCAAGATTGAATTTAAGACCTCTACAACTCTACTCACACTTTGATGTGAGGTCCTAGTATTAACGTGACATGTATTTGCGAATTCATATTCTTCATTGTTTATTGACTTTGGTATTCAACACTTACTTGCTATGTTAATGTTCTTAGGATCAGCATTGTTATGAATTGCTCTAGAATACATGTACGGCGTAATACGGCTAAATGCGATGATAAACCAGGTGGATTAAAAGTAGTATGGGTTCTAGTGACTACCAAACAACAATCCTACTTGGTTAGCATACTACGCTTTCGTTGCAACTGAGATCTCACCTTGTAACTATGAAGAGTGGTGTCGCAAACGTCTTGGGGTTTACGGAAGGACGCTGCCTCTTGTCCAGCCGTACGTTGTAAGGACCAATAAGTTCTTACTTGCAGTACTTTTTAAGGAAATCCTATGAGAATAGTTCACCGAAATCACCTTGAGTCTACAAGTTAAACTTTATTCGACTACAAAACAGAAAAGAACTTTTTGGCAATTTATATCCTTCATTCGGCTTTAGGTAACGAAAATGCTAAGACAAACATTAGTAATCATTAAAAAACTATTAAAATCTAATATCACAGAAAGGCATAAAGCACTATAACCCGTTCATAAAAAGAAACGATGCCAGTGACGCTGCCAGTCAGTGAGAACGCGGATGACTGCATGATAAATGCCAATCAAGGAGTTAAATAGCTCGAATAGTGCAAGAGATCAATAGTTAGTTACAAAGAATATACTTTTTCAAACACGTAAAAGGAAAGCGCAGCATGGACACAGGAATTGCTAACCCATGCTTCCTGCCTTCATATTCCTACTAATGACATAACTATAGGATTTTTAGAAAAGCTATAATTGCATCGAGTCTATACATCTCATCTTGAGAAAGCTTCCGGTAAAACTGTTCGCGTCTATCTCTAAGATCGCGAAGTTCCTTTAAAGAAACAGAGTCAGCTATTGAGATAACGTAAAAAGAACAAAAGTCACACCTTAATACAATTTTCTGCTTTTTGCTTCCGATCTTCAGCGGCTACATCAACTCCGATATTGCATAGTGGTGCTCGAGAACAATTTCTAAGTGTATCCAGAAGACCAGTAGCAATGCACTGTAGGGAAGACAACGCAACCTCACGACAGGACTCTGGCAATGTGGAGTCTTGCAGAAATTCTGAAAATGATCCACTCTGTAAAGCAAACAAGTGTGTAGTTTATGGGGCTAATCTAAACTTACTGCCACAAAGTTAACTGGAGTTTTCAAAGCTATGAAGCTTTTTCATTATATTTATTAAGTTGTCGGTTACACATTTTATGACATCGCAAATTTTGTTCAAAATCCTGATTTTCGCATTCAAAGCTGTTTATAGTATGCTGGAATAAGTCATAGAGCATTCTACGATAAGGATATAAGGAGACGCCGAGATAGTGAATTCGAGTTGCAGCCGGATTTCATCACATGGTACTTGAAAGATTTCGGCTTTGGTCGGTACTCGAGATGGCAGGATCTGTTTGGATAGTTCGACACTCAAAAGTAACTAACTAGTCGCGACCGATACGTGTCATCTGTAGGTTCCCACTGCTATATTCGCACTGATAAAGCTTTCTGAAGGACATCGTGAGTGGAAATGGGAATTGGGTATTGCTAAACAAACATTACGCTCTTCCTATACCCACAACTGAGACAACCTATCATTTTAGTTACGACTTGATGCGCACATTCGCAATCTGGTGCTTTTCAAGTTCTGAAACTCCTAGCACAAAAGTTGTTGAGACCAAATCAGATGTTCATTGCAAAATTACATAGAAGCGCTACGCGAACAAGTCGCCGTCGTAGAGGAAAACTGAAATAACTCAGAGTCCAGTCTCTCTATGACGTCGATAGGCCACATGTCGGACAAATTCGTTGGAAAGAACTAGAGTTGAGCTGAAATACCGTACTCTTGGAGTATTACCGTGTATACTGCACTAGCACTTTACATAACCACCTGTTCTGAGCATTTAGAGGTCCTCTGTGCGATAAGATGTTTGAGAGCAATATAAAAAAGTTTTAATCATATTTTAAAACAGATTTTCACTCAGGTTCAGCAAATACGATCGCTATCCTTCTCGACTATTAGGAAGATGATAAAAAAGAATTTCTTCGGATAACATTCCAACGTCTTCGTCTTCTTTAGAGTCAGGTTGATTCGAGTTGACGGTCGCCTGGTTAGGTAAGCTGAATAAATCTTACCAACTTTCTGTTAGCTTAATAATCGAAAACAGTTTTGATTATTTTTGCTGAAGTATAAAAATGATGACGTCGAAACGTTATCCAAATAGATTTTTCTTTATCAACCTCGTGTTGGCTTGATAACCGAAGAAACCATTGTTTCTTCGAATCGCACCGCCTACCGCTCTAGGAGAAGCGGAACGACTATCCACAAATGATATTCCATAGCGTATTTGGCAAACGACTTACGTTCCACTTTAAATTGAGAATTTTGCGACGACAGCGAACAAACCTTTGAGCTTTGGAAGATAACTGTTGCAGGTGTTGATATCCCAGCGTTTGTTTTCATTCAGTATCCTCAACATAGCAGTGACTACTAATTCGTCAGCAAACAGGCCGTCTTTTATCATAGCGGACATGCCTCCATGCTTAAACGAAGCAGTCAACTGTTGCACTCCTGCAATCATTGAATACTGTTTTAAACAGTACAGAATTTGCCAGTGTACGTAATTTAGTACATAAGCAGAGAACTTAAACTTCTAAATTATAACGGGGACGTCCACAAAGGGTGTCCACGCTTTCCAAATATTCAAAAATATGTACAAGAGTTACCATCTTTATAACTAACCAAGCGCTGTTCTCTCAGCTTGCATAATAGTTATATGATGTCCCTTTTCTATTTTCGCCGCGAATTCACTGACCGATAGACCAGCAGTTGAAATCTGAAGCGATAATAGTGAAAAAGTGATCGCTCTTTATGCCACAAAAACCTGTCTTATTTGCGAAAAGCCTCGTTTTGTCCAAAACTCAACGAATTAATTACATTGGAATTCGTCTGAATCGATCGAACTGGTTCTCGAGGAGGTCTTCCACTTGCTTCTGGATAAGCAATTCTCTTGCTTGATCGAAGTACTTTGACTGAGCCGTCCTTCACAGCAGCACCGTTTGATGGCGAGGCGCTCCGACAAATTAGACGAGACGAGCACGACTTTCGACTCCTGCACGATATTCTGCTACAATTCACAGCAAATAGAACATTGACCTACCTGAACCAGTTTACTACTACTAACTACTACCCTAATATCTTAGTCATAAATAAATAAATAAGTATATGTGCATATGAATATATATATATATATACATATATACATGCATATATGTACATATATGTATGCATATATGTATATACACACATATATATCTATATATATATGAAATGTGTTATAATTCTTGTAGAAAATTCTAAATATAGATTCCTTTAAAGTTTAAATTCTCAAGACAAAATAAAATCAGAACGAAAGCAGACACCAATGGTACGTTGGGAAATACTATCGCGTTCCAGCGAATGAAACCCTACTTAAATTGCTCTTGCGAGCATCACTTGAAGAGAATTTGATCTTAGTGTAATAAGACAAATTGTGTCTTGAAGGGAATGACATGTAGATTCTAATGGTTCTTCTTATATCAAATAATAAAGGTCAATGTGAACTAAAATAGGAAATAAGGGAACAGACTTTAGTTTAATGCTGGAAGTAGTGAATACTTTCCCATCCTATGCAATGTACTGGATGCTACTAACGTATGTTGGGCATTATGTTGATGTCAGTTTCAAAAAACTGGTCATAATACAGCGTCCTTCATTCAAATTTGATATTGACATTATTGTAACAATTTTTAGAACAATGAAACAATGAATCACAAAGAACTATTACTTCCAGACTTGTTGATCACTGTGGCCTTGTATGGATGGCATTGAAGGACTACGTGGACGAATATTCAAACTTCTATTTGCATCGGCTCGCCTAAATAGTAAGGAGGACGTTAGGTAATTCGAGTTAAACTTTTTTTGAAAAGAATGATATGGTCGAAAGATGCGGACGGATAGAGCAGCAAAAGTGTTATGGAGCAACAACGAATTAAAAAGCAGATTGTGGCATACCGTGATAGTGATTTTTTGTACGTGGAAAAATAGCTTATACAGTGGAAAACAGAAAAGTGTATGCTAGAAACTAGGGATGTTGTTGACGAAAGATAAAAATGGTACTCTGGGAAGAAATAGTCACTTAGTCATAAAATTATGTTTCTCATAAGCATAACTACATTTGAAAAAATTCTAATGCTTCAAAAAAAGTTTTACGAATGAATGATTCTCACAAACGCTTAGTAAATCGGTGGTCACTAAGAATGGGTTGCAGAGACCCGTTACAAAAATCGGAAAGCAGTCAACCGTGGGAAACGCAGAGGACGCAAAAGGTGCCATGGCAACGTGAAAGTTGATGATGACACAATATTCGGGTGCAACACGTGTCACACAGTACCATAGAAATTCGTGGAATCGTTTTAACGTAACTGCGGGCACCGAAACTCCTCTATGAAAAAAGCTGATAAAAGATCAATACCAGTTGGTCTTTACCTCTCTCTTTTTCCTCTCTGGGCATTAAACCGCTGAGAGGACGCGCCTTCGGTTGAAGAAGAGTGAACAGATATGTCGGAATAACACACCCCGTTTTGAGAATGGTCGATTCGCTGCAGAAAGAAGTAAGGTTGGACAAAGGATGAACGCAAACTCTCGGAATAATACGGACGCAAAATTAATCAATTTCTTACACCGTCAGAAGATGAAGCATGTATTGGTACAGGAACAAAAGTATTTACTGAAGACGGAAGTTCTTCAGGTGTAGGAATTCCATCCACGGCTTCTGCGGTCACTTCATCTGATATTGACTCGTCCGTGTCAGAAAATTCAGCAGATTTTATGGAGCCATGCAAGATTTCCTGAAACATTTTCGTGAAAGAAACGAAATGAAGAGGTAATTATGACACAAAACTATTCCGAGTACTTCCAAAGAGAAGATGGAATAAGAAAGTGCGGAAGTAGAATCCGTACAAATAATGCCCACGCCATCTGCTGACACATTCAGGCCCAACACCTGCAAATAAAAGTTTATAACAAGTTGTGTATGAATCAAAAACCTTCTTACCTTAGAAAATTCTCCAATACTATTTGTAGCTAACGTTTCACATGGTTCGCTTGTCAACGTCTTCATGATCTGATTCGTAGAGGCCACCAAAACTGGATCCTTATCTTGAAAGTAGCAGAAACGTAACTCAAGAAAAAATGCAATCCATTAATTTTTATAAAACGTATACAACCGATCTGCAGAACACCATTAGTGTACAGATAAGAGGATAAATAAAGGATAAAGCTATCGCTATCGGTGTTGATCAATCCTTGAAAGATGCGCCATGAATTCGACTTCATTAAGTATCGTTGGAGGTGATTGAATGCATATCTGGTCTTTACAATGACTCGCGAAGGCCTACCGATCTATGACAATGACAATGACGCGGAGTCAGTGCTGCTATCCTCCAGACAGATCTGGTACCAATTTTCCGATCCTGGAGAGATGGAAAACTTGGTGAGTCATGGGCGCGGGAATCGATTACAAGTGTGTGTCGCAGTAGCGCCTCCAACCACTATATAGGTATATCTGCGCAATCTACGTCTCAAGTGAATGGACAGCAATTGTTGGTTCCATAGGACAGGTTGTGTTCTCATTAAAAGCAGTAACTCCCACAACCGACTTTCTATTAACCTCGGCATTGATCAAGTAATTCTTCGTATTCTTGGTGAGCAAACGCGAGGTGTTACTTTTATTCTTTATTCACGAATAAGCTGACGTTTCGGCGGATTTCGCCTTCCTCAGAGCCTGGAAAGGTCAAGTTGACGGCAACCTATTCGGCCAAACACCTCCATAACCAAACAAAGAAAAACACTAAACCAAGATTTCGATCACATTGAACACAGCTTTGCACACTCACCGCTTTTTGTGAGGCTTCCACTGAGTATGTCGCGTGAAGACCAACCGCACAGAATTCACATGGAAGCGTAATGTGCCTCTCCCATCAGAATAACAGTCCTATATACTGCCCAATATCACGCGTGATAATGAGGCATTCCTCCCTGCGGTTCATTTCCTGATTTCTGGAATTAATCCAGAACACGTCGTGAGTTTTGCGCGCCTGTATTCTCGAATCCTATGCGAGGATCGTGACACGTACTTCAAAGTCCTCCCCGTTATGCCTCTGTGTCCTATGCGTGCCTATTGGGCTAGGTTTCTTCTATGCGGAGACAGAGGTGTCTGCCCGTGTCACCAATGTATTCGTCCCCGCACACCTTACAAGAGATCAGATAAACTATACCCGAACTCCTGCAATCACCGTTTCCACCATTGGGGCAAATTATGCAATTTTGCGTTGCGCATAGACGGTCATATAGGTGGTTACGAACTAGCTGGCGCTTAAGATTACTCGGTGGCATTTCAACTACGTTTACCGAATTCTCTAAACCCGCCCTTCTTAAGAAACAGCGTTTTATAGCTGTACTTATGTCATTTGAGATGAAGGGTAGGATAAACGGGACCTTTCTATCGCTAGAGTTGTTGTTTGGGGGCCTAGGGTTCCCCTACTCCTATCCCGAGCTACAGTTTCGCAGCCATTAGAAAAGGCTATTTGCCGCGCCAAGTTCCAGGACTCCTCTCTCTGCTCTCTTCCCGTGCACACGTTGGTTGCTGTTCGAAACATGCTTCTTACAAGCGCCCTTTTCGTGTGAGAGGGATAAGAGGAGAGGCAATGAACCAAGATGTTTTTACTACTTGGCTTTCAGTACCACTTTGTAATGTAGCCATTTTCTTACAGGTGAATTTGGACGTTCAGGAATGGAAGCCATTTTTCTTTCGGTTTCTCTCGGGTGAATTTGATATACTCTAACTGTTTATTCAACAACTCGAAACACTTGTTCATTTTCTCTTGTGTCGAGCAAAGAACAAAACAGTCGTCTATATATCTACAGTAGCGTAGCAGCCCGAGATCAATCACCGGTGCTTCCACCTTAGACCTAAACGCAATGGCAAGGTTTGGAGCCAGTCGTTGTCCCATTGCCAACCCTCTTATTTTAGCGTAGTACTTTCCGGACCATCTGAAGATTGAGCAGCTCAAGCATTCTTTTAAAAGTGCCATCAGGTGCTCTATCTTGAAGCCATACATGTTTATTTCTCCTTCGTGTTGTAGAAGGAGTTCGAATATGGCCTGCATTGCGGAGTCATTCGACACGTTTGTATGAAGGGCGGTAACGTCGAAGGACTCCACCACGTATGCGCTGCTGGGCTGCGCAGTACGTAGACGATCCACAAACATCTGGGCATTCGTAAGATGGGATGGAATGTGTTTCAACAACTGGTTAAATATTAGGGTTAAAAACCATGTAACCTTTCCAGGCTCTGAGGAAGACAAAATCCGCCGAAACGTCAGCTTATTCGTGAATAAAGAATAAAAGTAACACCTCGCGTTTGCTCAACAAGAATACGAAGAATTAAAAACAGTATTTCATGTACAATAAATAAAACAATGCTTGGCAAATGGCATAATTACCACATTCTTCGGAAGTTCGGAAAGACGCAGCGCTAGAAGTGTTTCAACGCAATTCAACGCAAAAAAGTATAACGCAAGATAACTACTTCAATCTAACTATTGCCATTTACTACCAAAAAAAAAACCCACGTGGTGGTACAGTTGCAAACTCTGCGCATTGAATTTCCGCATGAAACACATCTGACATCGCAACTGATAACAGCTCGTCTAAACACCAGAATCTAACAACTCGCTCTGCTCCATATGTCGCCACCATCCTCTGAGCTGGATGGAATGTCGCACCATAAGTCTAAACGTTACGTACAATTCATCGGAAAGATAAATAATCTCACAATAGTGGATAACACACAGATGAGGGGAACTGCTTCAGGATGCATCGTGTTCTGATGTCATATAGTTGCAGTGTGGAGTCCGTACCGACGGCAAGAATGATATCATCAGGACTCATCTGAAACGTTTGCATAGAACAAACACACGTCAGGTACAAATCGTTTCAGATGAATACACCTCGACACAACGAACTGGGCCTGTCGTTCTACCATGCATTATGTTAGCGGGATGTGAGCGACTATCCCATACTATCCAAGATGAGTCTAGAGAGCCGGAGACCTAGAAATGTTTTATTGTCAGAATACGTCTTGACGAAATTTGGAGAAATTAGCACAAACATAAAGTGAAACAACATAAGGGATGAAGGTCCTACATACCCACGAGTACACACAACTCCAACGAGGTGTTAGTGCTTGTACTGTTAATGAATGACCAGATAGCTTACGTATCTCACGCCCTAAAATGAAAGACACATTTTAATCCAGGGCATCAGTATACTGTCCTTCTTCAATGGTTCACTGTCTCATCTTGGGTATGTGTAGGGCATAACCTCTCGAACTGAGAAACGGTTCGACATTCTATCCAGAATCCAAGCTAAAAGTATGTCAGGAATGAGAGACACCGTGGTATAAAAGTAACCGCAAATCTCCCTCTAACCCAGAAATATCGACTACTACCTACTGTAACAACTGAAGAAGCTGAGGCAAGGCTATGTTGGGTCTTCAGGAAGAAAAACATTGCTCAATCAGCAATACATAGGTCTCAATTATATGGCATTCCTGTTAAAGAGCCCGAGGAATAAGGCTAACTATAGAATAAAAATTTCGAATTGCACAGAAAATCAATGGAATCGCATGAAAACGGCATGACCACGATATGCCGTAAAGGTGGCTTTATTCTATACATCAAAAACATCAGCAGAGTCTTCTCAAACACCGATCTTAGTACTCTTCTTAAGGATGCAGGTCACTCAAATTCAGTGTTCATGCCCTCCAAGAGACAGAAGGGAAAAAGACGACACAATGCCAAATAAAATACACAGTCTCTATTATTCGTGAAGAAAAGATATGATTTTGAAATGTCGGTTCGGCGATGTGAGTTTTGCAGCCCGTTTTTCTTTTGTGCAGCTCAATAAGAGTTAGTATCACTTCCGCTAGCTATTCTCTATTTTTAGAAAGAGACAAATATTACCAATTGGCTGCTCACTAACCAGTCCAACTTATAACAGAATTAGATGAGATCTGTTACCAGTTGAAAGAAGTGATCCGCAACAAGGAGTCTACAAATTTGTTATCGGAGTCTTCGACGCCGTATGAAGAAAAATGAACGGAATCAAATAATTTGGAAATTTAGGATAGGAAAACAAAGGAAGCTAAGGCAACTTTTGCATGAAAATGTATTTTTCGAGATGAAGAATAGCCACCGCTGGACAGCCGTCTACCCGCTTGATCCATGTACTTATTGAACACATCATCAAAAGCAGATAATACTACCCTCTTGAGCCTATCATTCTAATACAACACAGGTAACACGGTTAATAATAGCTCAAGAAAAAACACCAGACTAAAGGAATGTCATTGTAGCCTAGGCGAATAGTGTTCCACTACCACCCTTAATGAACGAGGATAAAATTAACATAACGATACAGAACTAATGACAGAAAATAGTATACTAACTTCTTCTGCTTCCTATACTAAAATCCATCCACCCCAGATTCTCTTTTCTGAAGCTTGCTTTGCGATCAAGAGTATGAAAACTTGCACACCTTCAGGATGAAACACCATCACAGGTGACTTCGCGTTAGCAGCCACAAACCTCAAGCACTTTTCGCCACTCATATGACAGTTCGTGTTCAAAAAAGGACTTGCGACCACTAGAGGACCTCGCGCACGGTTTCACTCCCACAAAAACAGAGTTCGACGGGGCTATCTAATCTTCCTGAAGTTGTTCATCGCCGCAGTGCAGTAAATAACTAAACCACTCAAATATTAGAAAAAGGAGATAAAATGGCAATTTTTTAAATCAAGTCTTTGCTTGTTACGATATGATCTCTCTGAAAATCACCCTCGAATCAGAGACGAGGCTCACGGAGCATGTGAAGTCGAAAGAAGAATAGGATTGCGCATAAATCGGAAGGAAATCCAGTTTATAGAAAACTTATGGTAAGATCTGCAGGTCGAGAGGCACGACTTTTTGATTACAGAGATAATATCAGTTCGGAAAGCCAGATGCATTAAATACGCAGAAGAAAGGAACCAACATAGATTGCATCAAGCCCATTTAGAAGTCAACGACCATTTAGCTAACATAAACTCCGCGCTTTTTAGCTCCCAGTTCCTCCGAGAGCTCTGGTATACAACTAAGACGTGAATTAACACTTCAACCATAACCATAATTTTACGCATAACTCAGAGAGCTGTTGGACGACATATAACACGATATAACCGACATATACATCTTGCCGGACTTTGCAGTTTAAACCCCCGAAACTCACCTTATCTTCTAGATCTCATGGATACACTTTTGAAACAAAACCCAGATGACTCTGCCACGCAGCGAATTCCCACGATGACGTAAGGAATAAGCGAATGGAAAGCCCGTTGGTGCCCACACTACTCAAGAAGATGAGGTAATCAAAGGATACAGGTACGTATCTTGTTCTCACATCAACAAACCTCTATTTAAGTCAACTAATTTTATAACATCGTTCGAAGCAACACCAATATTCCTTTCATCGGCATTTAAACGAAGGCAGTCGACACGACCACTAACCGTTATATTGGGTACCTGGAAACAGACAGGATTTCTAGGCTAAGAACGACAATTACGATGTAATCTCTAGATGAAGGTGAACATACCTCATTTTCTACACAGTTTAACGAGTACACTCTAAGTGGATTTGACACAAAGATGCATTGTAATCTTTTCGATAATATGGCATGTGTTGGCGGTGGAAATGCACCCGAAGAGGCAACGATTTCTAGGCGAAGGATGTAATTATAGGGTATCAACTGTCTACAAAGTTTTGAACAGTACATAACATTAAATCTCCAAAAAAGGAAGACAAACTCTGATATTTAAGATATTGTCTTTCGATTAGACATCCATTTATCATGTCCACGTCGGCGCGAAAGGATCTGGAGGAAACCTACGTCAACGTAGAGCAAAATAGTTCAAAATCTGCACGTAGATGCAAGCCAATAAGCAAACTACGTACTGTGGTATAGTATCACTTCGAAACATGCAGCGCAAACGAAGAAGAATAGATTGCACTTAGAAACTGTTGTTTAAAATTTACATACCTGGGCAGTCATCTTTATGAGCTATGTATATATATCCAGCACATTTCCATTTTTTTCTCATGTCCTCCCGATCTACGTCCACGGAGATAATTTGCTACGATGACGTGTACGAACATTACTTCTTGATTCACACGTTGCCCGTGTTCGAAGAGTTTATTGGAATAGGTGCAAAATACACGTTCGACCTGTGCTTGTTCTAAACAAAGTATGCTTGCAACCACTTGTAATCCACTAGCTCTTCTCTTCTATCCGTTATCAACCAATTTCAACTTCACCATACAATCGACTCATATGTTTTCCTTTCGACGTATGCCACCCTTGATCACTAAATCCCGAAAATGAAGTAGACATCTAACGTTTGGCTTGTACATTTCAGGTACATGCTGCGTGGTCAGTTTTGTTCCAAGAGACATTTTTGAAACGCTTGGTTTATGATGGATAACATTTCTAACAATGTAACGTGGTACACCCACGTTTCAATTCAATAGCAGAGTGCACGGAAGAACGCTGAATTATATATGTAGGCGCGGAGTCTGACGTGTGCCACTTGATCGGTGACTTCTGTAAGACCATCGTATTCGGCCCATGCTGGTCTACTTCTTCCGTATATTTCTTCCTTCATGTCCTCTTCCATGTTACTACATGCCCAAAGCACAAATAGGATTTCGTGCTTGTGATCAAACTATTACATCTCTTGATCTGTTCTCCATCGCATCAGGCGACTTCAAAAACATGAGTTTTCAACAATTTTCTTATAACCACAATATTTTCTTATGGTTCAAGAGCAATCCTACCATCTTCCTCGCTTCGTTGACCCCTTTGTATATTCTCCACTGCAACGGCACTCCTCGAAAACACGACAAAATAAAAAAAAAAAAAAAGAGAAAATGACTTGATAGGAGATTGTTATTAATGTTTACACCGTTGTCATCCAATCGACAGATTTCATTGTCCAGTGAAATGTGGCGCTGCATAGCTTCGGCAAGATGGTGTCGCCCTGCCGAACTCCTTGTACATTAGGTGGTGCAAGATCGACAAGAATTATATATTTTCGTGCACTTCTCATACTGGCTAATATACTTCTTGTCACCTTAAAATGACAATCTGCAAAATCCTTCACCAGTCGCGAACAGTTTCCTTTTGACCATAGTTATTAACCAAATCAGTTTGCGGGTTCTACCTTGAAGAACGACGTGTGTTGCGTTGCCCTGCTATCACGCTTCTTGTTATCTTTAGTCACAACAAGGACTTCAGATGGAAGTATCGTTGAAGTTTTCTCAGGTTTTGAGAAAGATTGGAGTAAAATTCTCTGTTGTAATTTACGCAGGATGAGAGACGGGAGAAACTTACTTGGATACTTGGATGGCCCGTCTTCACTGGTAGTCGTCGTTCATGTGGATCAGAGGGAGATTTGCCATCATGCGACTAGTTTGATATCAGGACGGCGTGAATCCTGGTATTGGTTTAATCTTAGCTGGGCTTCCTGACAGAAATGGCGGACACTTTCTCGGCTTGGGAGACCCTGCTGGAGGATGAAACCTCCCGGCTGTACATCGCAACCCGACACCTAGGAACACCTTCCAGCCACGATGAGGCGGTAAACTGTTGGGAGGATAGAAGGAAAAACATTAAAAAACCAGAAAGCTCAGTAGGAGTTAAAAAAAGGAACACTATGTACGTGAAGACCCTAACCGCGATTTTTATGCAATTTTTTTTGAGCAGTTGTAAAGTTCTTCGTGCATGCACCGCATTGGCCATCAAAGGAAAATCTTCTGAAACGGGCATTTATTACTAGCGTAACAATGTGGTATACCTGGATTTTCAGTTCTTTCCCATTCTTAACAAACGTTTCGTTGATGATGGATATATAACCTATAAATTTCGGAGAAAAATTGAAGAGTGTTGGACGGTCTCGAAGTTCTAAATTGGTTGCCAATTTTGCTTTCGAATAAAACCTTTTATATCGCACCTCAACTGCGCAAGACATAAGCTTAACATACATACAACCCTGCGCATTTTCAGAAACTTCGGGACGTCTTCCGCACACATTAACACACATTAAAACTTTGACGCGCGTTAAACGAGTTCTTTATACTACGTAGTATTAAAGAGCTTTTTTAAAAAATTCGAATTTATAAGCTGCCTACAAATTTTCACAGAGAATAACAGAGAGCGCAGGGTCCGGCAAGCAAGCTAACGAAACCAAAATATAACCTGTATCACCTGTAGTCCCGCTTATCGTCGAGTGATTCGAGCGGGCGCCAGTAAATTTTCCACTTTTCCCATTCGTGTGCAAGAGTAGCCCAATGGGTTCTGCTCGCTCTAGGGACTCGTCGAGCATCATATCTTTCTTCAAGGGTCTTTGTGAAGAACTCCGACCATCAGGTCGGTGGTCTTCCTGCAGTACGTTTGACATCCCGAGGAATCCAGTTATTAACGGCTCTTGTCCACCGGTTGTCATTCATACGAATTACGTGTACGGCCCATCTCATCTTCGACTCTTTGGCGTAAAGAACGGCATCTTTGATTTTTGATCGTTGACGCAGGTCGGAGCTTCGGATCTCATTCCTTACTTGTGCGGAACGGGATACTCCTAGTAACCCTCTTTCGATTGCGAGTTCGATAACGCTGAGTGACCTTTCATCCTACTTACGCAGCGACCAGGTTTCTGACGCATACGTTCGAGAAGGAAGTACCATTGAGTCGAAAAGGTGTGCACGGAGTCGAGTGTTCTTTGCTGTCTTCACTACATCCTCGATGCTCTTGAAAGCTCCCCAAGCCGCTCGTTTCTGACTGCTCAACTCTGGAGCTAGGTCGTTCATCATATTGATTTCCCAACCTAGATAGATATAACTGGAGCATTCGGAGATATTCGTTCTGTTGAGCATGAATGGTGCATGCGAAACCAATCCGTTCTCCATGAATATTGTTTTGTGAGATATAGTCGAAGACCAATCTCTCCACGGGCCTTATCAAAGTCGTCAAGCATACGTGCCGCTTGGCTAATGTTTGGTCTTATAAGGACGATATCGTCAGCAAAGCAAAGATGGCGTAATTGCCGACCATCGATTTCTACTACCATATTATCCCATTCCAACGCTCGAATGACGTTATCGAGGGTGGGGGTAAATAATCTTGGCGAGATGGTATCGCCTTGCCTAATTCCTCTTTTGACGTCAATGTTAATATCGTTGTAGAAGGGTGATACCTTGGTTGTGAAATTTTTGTACAGCTCACGAAGAATTTTTATGTACTCAGTAGGGACTCATTGACTATCAAGGGCTTCCAAGACTGCTATCTCAACTGAATCAAAGGCCTTCTGTAAATCGATAAAAGTGAGACAGAGCGGTCATTTGTACTCTCGCAACACTTCAATGAGCCTTGTTACCGTGTGGATGTGGTCCATCGTACTAAATCATGGTACTAAATTGTTTGGAAACTCTGCTTGCTCACATGGCTGCTTTTCGTCCAGTCTTCTGTCAATCCTGTTTAAGATTACTCGTGTGAAGGGTTTGTAGACGACAGACTGCAAGCAGATTTGGCGATAGTTGCCGACATGGTGGAGATCACCATTCTTGAGCAATAACACGGTCTTGCTGGTCTTCCACTGAGTAGGGACCTTGCATTCAGACAGGTAACGTGTGAACAGCCGAGTCAGTGTGTTTATAACTGGCGGTAGGTTCTTCAGGTGTTCTGGTCTTATCCTGTCCGGACCTGGTACTGTTCGATTTTTCACCAACGAAATGGCATGTCGGATTTCGGAAGGGAGAACCGGTGGTACAACATGTCCATCCTCCTCCATTTCGTATGAAGACAAAAGAACTTGGCTATTGAAGAGATCCGAGTAATATTCGTTAATGATTTTCTCCATTGCTTTTCTGGACGCTGTAACTGTTCCATCTGGGCGCCGGAATGCAATCATGTTGGTCTTTTAATTGGCGAAGCTTCGGTAGGATTTGCGAATGCTTTTCGGAGCCTCTGCAGCTTCGACCATTACTGCTACTCTTCTCTCTTTAAGATCTTCTTTTATCTCCTGTTTGCATTCTTTTGTAAGTTCGGACCCTAGTTCGTGGTTGCCTGTAGCTCGTGCGATTCCACGCTGGCGTATAAACTCGAGTGTTTCTGGAGACAGACATCTCTTGGTGACTTTCGAACTCTCAGCATTCGTAGGACTAACGTGAAGATGTTCAATGAGCCGATCGTATGCTTCGTTGATGTTTTCGACAACGGCATCTTCCCAACAGCCGACCAATGAATTGAATAAGTTCCCATGACCGACTTTCTGTTAACCTCGGCATTAATTGATAATTCAATGTTTTTCATCAATAAGCAGACACGAGGTTGTTAATATAGAATTTATTAGAACACAATTGCTGACGTTTCGGCGGCTTCGCCTTCCTCAGAGCCCACTATTCTCTTCCAAAGGGATTCCTCCAAATACTGGACACAATAAGATTCCTTCGACTTGCATTTCTTCAATTGCGCGTACATGGTGTTCTGCTTGTATCGAAGAGAGGCACGTAGTAGTCGCGTTTCGATGTCCAGTACTAGTTGGCTGTCCCTTGGTAGGCCGCACACATCGTGTAGTCGTTTTCGTTTGATGAAGTTCGGCACGACTCGGTGTTTCAGGCAGCGGCGGAGGAAGAGTATCGTTTGTCTAGCTAAGACAATTTTTTGTCTTAGTGACAGGACTTCTTTTACAAGTCGGAAATATTCTGCTGGCACTCCACGTAGTAATTCCCATGACCGACTTTCTGTTAACCTCGGCATTAATTGATAATTCAATGTTTTTCATCAATAAGCAGACACGAGGTTGTTAATATAGAATTTATTAGAACACTCTCTTCGATACAAGCAGAACACCATGTACGCGCAATTGAAGAAATGCAAGTCGAAGGAATCTTATTGTGTCCAGTATTTGGAGGAATCCCTTTGGAAGAGAATAGTGGGCTCTGAGGAAGGCGAAGCCGCCGAAACGTCAGCAATTGTGTTCTAATAAATTCTATNCTTCCCAACAGCCGACCAATGAATTGAATAAGTTCCCATGACCGACTTTCTGTTAACCTCGGCATTAATTGATAATTCAATGTTTTTCATCAATAAGCAGACACGAGGTTGTTAATATAGAATTTATTAGAACACTCTCTTCGATACAAGCAGAACACCATGTACGCGCAATTGAAGAAATGCAAGTCGAAGGAATCTTATTGTGTCCAGTATTTGGAGGAATCCCTTTGGAAGAGAATAGTGGGCTCTGAGGAAGGCGAAGCCGCCGAAACGTCAGCAATTGTGTTCTAATAAATTCTATATTAACAACCTCGTGTCTGCTTATTGATGAAAAACATTGAATAAGTTCCAGTTTGTGATGGTTTTGGGACTTCACTTTTTGAATTTAGCTGCTTTTTCTCCTTTCTGCGAGAAGTGGAATCTTGCAGGAAGGAGGCGATGGTCTGATCCAGTGCAGAATTTTGGGACAGCACCAACATCGGTTAGCCAAAACCTTCTATTTACTATGATGTAGTCTATTTCGTTATGGTACTCTCCACTGGGAGACTCCCACGTCCAGCGCTGAAGGTGGGGCTTCTGGAATTGCGAGTTACCATGGATGGTCTTGGTCGCCATGATAAACTCATACAGCCGCTCACCCTGTTCGTTCTATTCTAATCCGTGGGTCCCAATGTGGCTCCCTGCGTTGATCAATCCCTGAGGGACATGGCATGCAGTCGAGTTCATTAAGCATCGTCGGAGGTGTCTGAATGCATATATGGCCCATACAATGACTCGGGGTGGCTCACCGATGTATCGAGACAGTGCTGCTGCCTTCCCGAGCAAGTGTGGTACCAATTTGCCCACTCCGGAGAAATGGAAGGCTTGGTGAGCATGGGGCGCTGTGATCGATCTCATGTGTACTGGAGGGCTCCTCCAACTACAGTGCTAAACGCGCTCTCGAGTTGCCAAGAATACGTCTCAATAGGGCAGCTGTGCCGTACCAAAACACTAACGGGGAAAGCAAATGAATTACTATTCACATCTACTGAGGCTAGTTTCAACAAAGCAGATATTAATTACTAAGGTATACAATGCTTCGCACGAAAACCGTTTTCAAGATATGACAAGTTGGGATGGGACATCTAGCTAAATTAAAGCCAATTCCGCACTGAGCACAACTGTGTGCCTCTGAAGGAAAAGGATTCTTCTATCCGTGGTACAAAACGAATTGAGTCTATTCCAGCAAACGAATATACTTAGTTTCTTGGTAAAATCTAGTAGATCTTTTACTCTGCAACACGAATGCTACGACAATTAAGTAGCCGTGCTTAGAAAGGGTATAAATTATTAGCACTGTCGTACTTAAATATAAATGATATCAAGAGTTCAAATATAGCATTTCTGATCAAAACAGCGTAGAATGGCACGAATTATTTTAATGAAAACAGTTTTATAAGAAAACTTGCATCGACGATAGCTTGATAGGTAGCAGTCTTTCCATTGAAAAGGTTTGTCATAATTAAGTCCACTAAGGGTCTAATATATTCAAAAGCAGTATCTAATGTATCTTCCTCCAACGGTTTACCGCCTCATCGTGGCTGGAAGGTGTTCTTGTGTGCCGGGCTGCGATGTACAGCGGGGGACTCAGCCCCTTGCAGGGTTCCCAAGCTGAGGAGTCCGGCGTTTCCATTAGGAAGCCCAGCTAAGAGTAAATCAATACCAGGATCCACCACCGTCCTGGTATAAAACTAGTCGCATTGTGGCAAATCTCGCTCTGATCCACAAAAGCGGCTACTGCTTGTGGTGGTGATGACTTGGGCAGACTCTGGCTAGGCTAACCTCGGGACTCCAGGGAACCACATTGGATGAAATCAACAAAACTCCGAAAAATTGGAAACTATGCCGAAAAAAGAAAAGCAACAGGGAAATGATTTGCACTATCGCGCTAAAAAATCTGCCATCACAAGTAGACTACACTGGGAATTAAAAAAGGATATAAATCCATAATTAAAAACTCACCGTAGGTTTTCATAAATCGATACAAAGATCGTTGCTAAGGAGGCGCTCCCAGAACAGCAAAAGAAACAAATTTGGCAGTGCCCGTGAAAACGCAAAAACTGCAATTTGGCTTCTCAGTGCGTACTTAGCAAACGGTTTCACTCACAAATCGTAAGAAAACAGTAACGTCTTTAACGTCACGTAAGTCAGAAACGGAACGAGACAACTGACAGCGAACGATTAGCACTTTAAGTGACGATGACCAAACAGTGACCAAACAGGCAGAGCAATGGACGGAGTGGGAAGAAGTCGAAGGAGGTCAGCGTCGGATCTGATCCAATGACGACCGAATGGAATGCCGACCCCGGTTCCGAGCTCGTCGCGTCGTATCGAAGAGTCCGCAATCGCGGTCCTCGACGTCATCGGCTCGTCGGCGCGTGTGATTCCTCGCAAGGACATCGGGGTTTGGTTCAAATGCTCTGCGACCCGGGATTTTTTGCAGACCTAAAATATTTTTCGCAGAAGTATTCTGAAGTTTATAACCTGTCCATAAGTTGTTTTGTGTTTGTACCCGAAGGTGGTGTCCCTTTTCTTTTCGTCGCGAAGTTTTCACTAAAGTAAATCTGAATTTGTTTTAAAGGACCACCCAAAATGCTGAAATTTATGGCATTTCTGTTCTACCGCTCATACATTTTCACGAAATTTGGAATTCTGCTTAAGTTCGGATGGAGATGTTACTTCGTTTTTACACAACTTTTCGTGATGTAATCGACGGTGTTGACGGCGTTTGATGTTGCGACGAGCTTTTCAGAGATAATGGATAGTATTATTCAAATGCTACCGGAGCCACTGAGGCGCTTTTCAACCCACATAGACTTTCTTGGCCAGAAATCCGCTGAGAGAACATTTCAGGTGAGCACCTACGTCCTCAAAGTCGATCATCAAACTTCGCCGCCACCGCTGCACCAATGTACTTCATCAGTTTTTTTTATGTCCAAGTGTTTGTGTTCTATTTAATTCCTTCTTCTATGACAGAATATGGTTTCTTTTGCATTACTTGCCGAACTTACCGAAGACTAAAACTATGGCGCTTGAAATCTAGGTGGTGATTGTACTTGCTGGCATCATTGGTTTCTCGATCGGGTTTTCGACTCAGCAACTTTCGCACGCCATCTACACAGTGCTTGCTGGAGCAGCTTTGTCTGCTCTGATTGTTCTACCTCCATGGCCATTTCTGTTCAGAAAAAATCCCATTTCAGTAAGGTTTCATTTTTCTGTTTGAATAGTTTGTGGATGACAGTTTGGTTGTTTTTTTTCAGTGGCAGCCAGTCCAGCCGTCGGAAAGTAAGGAAACGAGGAAGACGAAGTGATTTCTCCAGTGTTTCTTCGTATTTTGGTCTTCTTGGTTTTCTTCTGCTTGTTTTTCTGAGGGGCAAATAAATTTTTGATATGACGAATGTATAATAATGATGTTTGGTAAAATACAGCCCTAGTGTTTCCGAGAATGTTTGATTTGGTTCTCTTTATCTTTTTTCTTTCACTCTGTTTGCAATTAAATCCTTTCCGGAATTGTTAGAGGCCAATGATGCGCGCGGGTGCCTTGTGCATTCGATGCGCTATTCGACAACCTCGGCTGAGACCTGTATCTGTATCCGCTATGTTCATTCGTAGACGAATCCCACTATGTGAGTCTAAATCACGACTGGAGCAAACTCGTTTTTATTCGAGCAGGTTTGTTTTGGAAACCAGGCTCTTGTTTTCTGCCTAGGTTTACCACTGCAAATTTCAGTTCAGACGGGGACGGTGAGAATCCAGCACAAACGGAAGAGACGGCAGCCGTGGAGACTGCCATAGTCGAGGGAAATGATATTGTAATCCAAGGATTTCGAAAATTTCTTCGTATCTTAGGTGGTGTTGCTCGTCATTGCAGAGTGGTATGAGCACCATAAATATTCCTGATGTTTTTCCGATTGTGCCAGTTCTAGCCATAAATCGTTATCCGTTATTTCCTGGTTTCATAAAGAAAGTTGATGTGAGTTTAAAATTTCTCTTTGCCCACAATCTGGTTGTAAATTTCTGAGATATTCTTGCTTAGATTGTCAAAGATGATTCGCTGAAGCATGTTATTCGCAACAGAGTAGCTCTGAAACAGCCATATGTGGGAGTTTTTGTTAAAGAAGATGACGAGTTCGTTTCTCTTTCTTACTTTCTTTTTTATTTTTTCTTTTATTCTTTGTCCTTTTTTTACCTACTCTTTTTCCTCTATGTATCCTGTTCTTGTGTTCTTTCTGGAAAGGCTTGTCTCTGTTCACAGTGTTTCTTGGTGGTTTCATTTGTCTGCAAGAGATGCAAGAGACAATCTTTGGTTAACCTATTTGTAATGGTTTCCCTAAGATCTCATTTCTAGGAATAAGGAGGAGGTTGTGACGTCGTTATCGCAGCTCTACAATGTGGGATGTTTTGCTCAGGTTCGAGTTTCTGACAGCTTTGTACCATTTCATAACATTTTACCTATGCAAAGTAGTTTTGGAACCACATTTGAAGTGGTCTTCGTTGAGCATTTTTCTTTGTTTACTTCAGATTATTGAAATGCGTGATCATGGCAAGATTTTGGAACTTGTTCTTAGTGCACATAGAAGGTGTGGTTCTAATTTTGATGAAGATAATAGGATTACTAAGATGCATTTCATTTACCTCGCCATTGTCTAACCGTGTTTTGAGCTCTGTAGAATACGAATATTGGAACCTGTTGAAGAGGGATCTGCCGACGAACCCCATAAAACACTTAACGGACGAAGAGCCGGAATTAGAAAAAAGGTATTGTTTGTCTTCTTTCTGTTGTACTCTTGGAAAGGACTAAAGTGATTTAGGGATTGACAATCCCTAAATCTGTGCAACCGACGGTCGACAGAACATCGATTTTGCTAGCTCGTACCGAGAATGTGATTGCTGAACCTGCTGAAAGAAGCAACGAGACTAAGGCCAAAATGCAAGCCGTGGTTCAAACGATACGGTGAGTTTCGTTTGTCGGGAGTGAAAAGAGGAAGTCTTGTTCCCTTGTCTTTTCCTGTATGTGACAACCCTTTCGAAAAAATTGCGCGTTGGTATAAACTAATCGATGTACATTCCAAAGCAAGAGGATGACATTATGTTGGATTATCGTCAGTAACGGCGCAAAACGCACATTGGTAATAGTTCGAACTGTCCTTGGCTAGCTAAGCCTCCCGCCTCTCTGTAGTGATCGTTGGTGCTACAGTTGTCTGGAAAAACCTCCCTTCGTTCTACAAAGGCTAGTGCTTACCCTGTAGTGAAGACGTTAAGGCGCTCTATCATAGCCAGGTATATAAATAAATATCTCTGTATGTTTGTGGACGGGCTTTTATTAAACGTTATACATTTTCGGAAAAATCCCTTTTGGTATTTGCAGTGATGTCGTACAGTATAGTGCTCTATTCGGCCAACAAATTAATCTTCTCTTACATCCTTCTCAAAACGTGATCGAGAACCCTGTGTATTTATGTGATTTGGTTGCTACTTTAGTACAATCAGCGGATACAAAAGAACTTCAGGAAATGATGGAAGAAATCAGTGTGGGTCTCTGTCTTCTGTGCACTTCTAAATTCGCTTCATTACGCTTTATTAATTTATTGATATCCTTTTTTAGGTATCGAGACGTCTTGACTTGGCTTTAGTTCTCATTCAAAAGGAGAAAACGGTTGCAAAGCTTAAATATGACATAAATAAGGATGTAGAGAAAAAAGTTCAAGATCAGCACAGGAAATACTTACTAAACGAGCAGGTCACTTTATGAGAAGAATTGTATACAAGATCTGTGATTCCTAGATGTGTTTCCATATTTTCAGTCTCCTTAAATATTTATTGAGCAACCCATTCCTTTCACCTTTTTTTCAGTTGAAAATCATTAAAAAGGAATTAGGTCTTGAGAAAGATGATAAATCTACAATTATCGAGAAAATGGAAGAGCGTCTCAAGGATCTAAAAGTTCCGGAATATGCCATGAAGGTTGCTAGAAGGAAGAATCCATTTTTTTCAATTCTGCCTGCAGAGCATTAAACAGCTTATATGTCAGGTCATTAAAGAAGAGCAACAGAAGCTGCAGTTTCTGGACCCACATTCGAGCGAATTCGGTGTGACTAGGTGAGGTTGACTGTTCAGTGGTGTTACAGCTTGGTCTGTGAGCACGAGTGTAGTTTTGCTTTATGACCTCAATAGCATTATTTATTATCTTAGAGAACTCAGTGAGTTTGGGTTGTTTTATATCGGGTTGTGATATTTGCTCTGTTTACTTGAAGTTTTAAGACTTTTTAAGGAATTACCTTGACTGGCTGACTAACATTCCATGGGGCATAACATCGGAAGAAAATAACGACCTGCAAAAAGCAAGAACCGCACTCGACCAAGGACATTACGGCATGAAGGATGTGAAGCAACGGATTTTAGAGTTTATCGCAGTTAGCATTCTGAAGTGAGTCAACACATTTTTTCGTAGTAACTTGCACTGTACTTTGTACTGAACATTTCAGGAAACACGTTGGTGGTAAAATTCTCTGTTTGCATGGGCCTCCAGGAACGGGAAAAACAAGTATCGCTAAATCTATTGCCGAAGCTCTGAACAGAGAGGTTTCTTTGCCATTGTCGTTTTCCATCCGTTGATTTTTACACTATTTTTACTTCAGTATTTCCGATTCTCAGTAGGCGGGATGACAGATGTTGCTGAAATAAAAGGACACAGGAGAACATATGTGGGCGCCATGCCAGGGAAGATGATACAGTGTTTGAAGAAGGTAAATCGTAATATCGCTCATAAAAATCTCTTGGCCATCAGCTTCTTCCCTTATAAAATGGCCTCTATTTTCATTAAAGTTCAGGTTCACACGGAGAATCCTTTAGTGCTGATAGATGAAGTCGACAAAATAGGTGGTGCAGGATATCATGGAGATCCAGCTAGTGCTCTTCTTGAATTATTGGATCCCGAACAAAATGCAAACTTCAACGACCACTTTCTCGATGTCCCTGTTGACCTATCAAGGTTTTTTGCTACATGTAACATTAGCTTTGTTGCTACTACGCATTTCCTTTCAAATCTAATTAGTTCATTTATAATTTGGAGTAGCCTGCTACTACTGAGTCCTATTGGAAATATTAGGTCACCCTTGTGACAGTAAAAGTTCTTCAAATTGTCGTTTTTTTCTTTTAGAGTGTTATTTATATGCACGGCAAACGTAGTAGACCAAATACCGGGTCCTCTAAAGGATCGCATGGAACTGATAGACGTAAGTGGTTATTTAGCAGAGGAGAAGGTTGAGATTGCTCAACAGTATTTGGTCCCGCAAGCTCGAAAAGAAACGTGAGCCTGTTTGTTCTGTATTTGGTTTTTTTTTTGGGTTCGCATTCTACTTTGTATAGTTTTAGCTCACTTACGGAAAGGCAGCTAGTTGTTGACAAAAGTGCAGTGGAACACTTGATAAAATATTACTGTCGAGAATCAGGAGTTCGTAATTTACAGAAACATATCGATAGAGTAGGTGTTATCGTCTTAAATTTATACCTATTTTAATTGTTGACGAAGTTATACAGGTTTTCCGCAAAGCTGCTCTTGAAATTGCCGACCGTTCCAGCAGTAATTATGATGAGTCTGTTACAACAATTATTGTGGACAAGGAGAATTTAGAGAAATATGTAGGAAGGCCGAAGTTCCCTTCTGATAGAATGTATGAAAAGACGCCTCCTGGAGTGAGTTAATATAGTTGGTGTAACTATATTAGTTAACTAATGCCTCTGATAGATTTGCGTTATTTCGAATTCTTCAAAACGAAATGGTGATTTTTTTGGTGACATGTTAAGCATTATTATTCCTCCAACTTTTATGCCTAAAATGGTGGCCTTCTTAGAGTGTTCTTCCCTATGTTTTTGTAGAAAACTGTGATCAATAGTCTTTATAGATAAAACTTCAAAGCGGCCAGTGTTTAAAACATTTTTTTTCTCATGTGGATTACATCTAAGAATATCAGTGACTTTTACTTTCAGGTGACAATGGGGTTGGCTTGGACCGCCATGGGTGGATCAGCCTTATACATTGAGGCAGTGTTGAAGCGGCCCGTTGATTTTACGAGCGACAAAGACGGAAGTTTGGAAATCACGGGAAATCTTGGAGATGTTATGAAAGTTTGTTCTTTATACGTTTATGTTGCTACTTTTGTTCATATGCACTCAAGTTATTCGGTAATTAACGAGCTCAAAGATATTTCATATATAACGAGCTCACATAATGGTTACATATATGTATATGTGTATATGTATGTGTACATATGTACACATGCATGTACATATATACATATTTATAAAGGATAAAGGATAGAGCTCAGCGTTGATCAATACCTGAGGGTTGCACCATGCATTCGACTTTACCAACCATCGTTGGAGGTGATTGAATGCATATCAGGCCTATATAATGACACAGAGTGGCTTACTGATATACCGAGCCGGTGCTGCTATCCTCCCAAACAGGTCTGGCACCAATTTACTGACGGCAGAGGAATGGAAGGCTTGGTGAGCCACGGGCGTGGAGACCGATCATACGTGTCTCGCAGGGCGATATACATATTATATATATATGTTGTATAAAATGTGTGTTATATACGGATCCATAGTTCAGGAAAGTGTTCGTGCTGCTCTCACTGTTGCTAAAGGGATTCTTTTAAAAGATGAACCAGACAATGAGTTTCTTGAAAAAGCACACATTCATCTTCATGTGCCAGAGGTATTCATTATTCAGCTTTCTGCTTGTGAGCTCTGTAAAGCATTTTAACGTCAATTTCACAGGGATCAACTCCTAAAGACGGACCATCAGCTGGTGTAACTATAGTTTCTTCATTGCTTTCTCTTGCTCTAAACAGAGCAGTAAAGCAAGATATGGCTATGACGGGAGAAATCTCATTAACCGGAAAAGTTCTCCCTGTAGGTGGCATAAGGGAGAAGGTTATTGCGGTCAGTTTTTCAAAATCGCTCTCAGCAAGCATAATAAGTTGACGAACATCCTTTGTATCTTGCTGATGTGACATCTATACCATAGATTGCAATCCTGACATCCCCATCAGTTAGCGTAAAATAGCTAGCAATAGGATTAGCATTTGCACGGATTGTCAGGAGCCCAATCAAAACCACTATACCTAATTACAGTGTTGTCAGTGCACCTAACTCTTTAAAGTTTCAAAATAACTCCTGATTACTCGCACAATGTCTTTTATGGTGAGCAAACCTACATAATTGAACTAGCATGTCCCATATAGTGGAGTTCTCTGCGTCGTCGAAAATATCAGAGTTAGGCAGGTAAACTATGAAACTGAATTGCACCTCGCTTCATACTGAATGGAGCTTGCGAATTTCCCTTAAAAATATAAAGGTTTTTTCCGCACAAAAAGTAGAAATCGAGAAAAATAGATTCCAGGCTCGTAGAGTTGGTGCGAAGCGAGTTTTTCTACCTGAAGAGAATCGTCGAGACTACGATGACCTACCTGAATTCATGAAATGTGACCTGGTCGTCCAATTCGTCAGTGACTACGTCGAAATCTTTCAAGACCTATTTGAATAACACTGATCTGTTGCTGTCTTAGCATTCTTACGATATGGTGTGTTATGAGTGTTGTTAAAATTTGTTACTGTTATAGATATGTTTATATTAATGTAAATAAATCGACACAATTCATGACGATAGCGATCGGTGTTGGTTGTTTCCAGGAAGTACCGTCATGTTTCAGCTGTATAATGATGAAGGCTTTTTCTTATAATACTAGTATTGCAAAGGCATCACACTAATGCATATGGGTCAAGTACTTTGTGTGATAACTGGATACTATATAAGAATGGGTAGGCATGATACATGGTCCTTAAGTTAGATGGCAATCGTCGAGGAAGTAGAAGAAGGTTCTGACATCAAAGAGACCGTCGAAAAGCTTAAACGGGAAGGCAATGAGAAATTTGGAGTAGGAGAATGGACAGCAGCTGCTGAAAAGTACAAGGTTGACTTGAAATCCAAAATGTTCATCTTTGCATATGCTTAAATTTTGGTTAAAAGGAAGCACTTGATCTGTGTCCGCCGGACTTGGATTCCCTTCGATCTGTTTTGTTCTCCAATCTTGCGGCTGTTTATATCAAACAGAGTGAATGGAAAGCCTCAGCTGAAGCGGCAACAGAAGCTATAAAGGTGAGACTCTCTACTTTTTCCTATGATGTCATAATAATTCAAATTTCAAGGCAAACGTGCCAAATGAAAAAGCATTGGAGAGGCGAGCTTTCGCGTTTTCGAATATTCCCGAAAAATATCAAGATGCAATACAGGATTACGAAAAGCTAAAGGTTCGTCTCTAGCGTCGATTTTTGTTACTGTCTTCAACAATGATATAGTTTAGGAGCAATTTCCCCATCGAACGCAATATCTGGAGAAAATCGAAGAAATTAACCAGAAGATTGCAGTGCGTAATGAACAGATGAAAAGTGAGATGCTAGGAAAGCTGAAGGAGCTAGGTTTGTGTGTCACGTCATCGTTTCCCCAATGGTTTGTACATAAGCTTTCCAGGTGATGTATGTCTACGCCCCTTCGGCTTGTCAACGGACAGTTTCCAAGTGACACAAAATGCAGACGGAGGATATAATATTTCCATGAAAAACGCAGCACAACAATGACGTCACATTCGATAGGAATAACTATTTCATTTCTGTGAGGGAACTTTGCCGAATAAAACTATTTCACTGCGTGACTATCGAAATATACACATTCATTATTTCGAAACTGAGTAAGTCGCTAGTGAAGTGACAAATCCTACTACCATTTATTCCACAAGCGATCTTTCTAGACCTGAATTCACCAAATGTACTTGGCGATAAATCTCGGTATCCACTTGTCATAAAACTTTGGAGCAGCGTAGTCGGAATGATGACTCCAATATCTTTCTTTCTTCATAAGATACTTGTCGGAGTGTGCAAACACCTGTAGTAACAATCAAAGCGTAGATCAGAGAGATATGGGAAACAATCTATAAAAAACGTGAGAAATAATCTATTAAGAAAATTACTTCGCAAGCGATAGGGTCCCACCACTTGTCTCCCAAAGTGAAGTAAACTGGCTCGCCATACCACGTTCCTGAACTCACTTATGAAGACACTGAAGAATAAGCAACGAAGAACATAGGAAACAATAGCAGCAGTGGCAATCGATATTGCAGTCTTAAACCATATCTTAACTTATCCTACATACGATTTGGTAGTGTAGAACGAAATATTTCAGTACTCGTGAAGTTAGGGACATTCTCCTTACACGATAAGGAAATACAATAAAAGTATAAGAAACACAAAGTAAATGTAAATCACCAGTCTTCCATCCAGGTACGTCCTTCATAACTTCCTCTTCAAGGTCCCTGTTCTTTTTCAGCAGTTTCAGCCAACGAAAAATAAAGAAATAGATGGCACGAGAAAATACAGGGGAAGGTTGATAAGTAGAACTTACTATCGATCACGTTCGGCGGTTAGAAAGGGCTGCATGGCGTTATTGATGTCGACATCTTCGAACTTCTCGGTTCTTGAATATAATTAGAATCAACTTCTGAATGACCAGAAGAAACCGAAATTAAAATAGAGTAGCCCAGGATTGTAAAATCCATAAGACTCACATACTAGCTTTTTTTGTCGCGATAGCGTGGAAACCACCATAGACTGCTGTCCCGAAGATCGTGGCCACTACCACACCAGCTAAAAATAAATATTTGTAAGGTAGATTGAGGACAAGAACTTAGGTGATTTAGCGCAATTACCAGAAAATAACGAAACAAAGTAGTAATAGCACAGAAAGTCTAGTGAAAGTACGTGTAAAGCGTACGTCTCCACACCATTTTTGGGAAGGTTCGAGCAAAGTTGAAGTCTCGGTAGCCCCCTGGCGGAGGCATGTCCTGCCGAAATTTCGTTTCACTCGACATCTGTAAACTTGTAAGAAATCGCCGGAATAAAACATGGCAAATTAACGCACAGGCAAAGTCTGGGAATAAGCATTGCATGATATCAAATCGTTCAGGAAATTCCCAAATGCAGTTGAGGACCTGAGTATTTTTAACAATAAAGTACGTCATACAGCTACAAGTAGGTAAGAAACAACGCAGATAAATGAGTGGGCGACAAGTTTTCAGGCGAGATTGAATCAAAGTGCTCCTACTTGTAACTCGAAAATGATACTTCCATGCGAAAACGTCACTTCTAAGCTAGAAGAACTATGCGGGGACGAATTCTTAGAAAACAAAAGACAACGAGATTACATAGTAGCAAAGGAAATGTGGATTGTTAGAGAAGCGCCTCACTCAGCAGTCATTGTAAAACGCTACGATACCGAACTTCATGCACCCAGTGCTAACTAGAAAGCTGGCCTCCATCAATAATTGAGGTAGGTAAGTGGAAGACTCGTGGATAACGGTGAGTACGTGAAGCAGATGTTTCCAACACGACGGAGATCTAAGCTTCGACTTCACCTGTTCATGTTATGGAAGCATCTGGATGACTACATTGCACATAAGCTCGCCCTCTCCAAATCTGGAGAAGGAGAAATCCGCAACAACCTCGTGCATGTCTACTAAAAATCACCAATTACTGCATGACGTTGATCGCGGAGCGATGAAACTCGTCCCCGCGAACGCATTAGTAACCACGCCCAGTTTTTGTTGGCCTGAGCACGCAGGTGCATCCGATATGTGTCATCTAATATTCTCCTTTTTATTTAACACTCTCATCGTTATCATGTGGCCCTTTCTTGACGAACCAGTTGTCGGGCTCTTGATTTTTGGTACTTGTATCATGAGACTCTTGACAGTCCCTTGCCGGATTCTCTCACAGTGGACCTGGCCGTGGTGAAAAATCAGACCTTTAGCCGCTACGAAAAAATATAGGGTCCCGCAAATAATTTAGCGAGAAGAAATATAAAGTAGGCCCACTCTTAGAGTATGAAAATGCATTGAATTCCATAGGGGCAAAAATTGGCAGTTGCATCTTTCAGACTGTCTCTCCAATACTATGTATCGGACCTCAACTGGCATTGAGTCAGATTATAGAGGTGCCTCAATTTTCGGAAATTAAACCGGAGCTAACGCCGCCTATTCGAGTCCATGACGGAATGGAGGCGTATAAGATGATAGCCATAGCGTTCACTAATTAGTGGTTAATTTTGGCAATATGACATAATTTATCAGACTCAAGTCGTCTAAACCTACAGATGAATTGAAGGAAACGAGTGCTACGCATAACCACTAATTGAGCCGAACTTCAAGGAATGGCACTTGGATACTATATTCAATTCACATTTATCTTCTTTAGTGGGTGACTTGGGAGACTTTAATGCACTAGAGATCGGATTTAGAGACTGCGAACGACTTTGCATGTATTTGCTCAAAATCCGTCATTTCATGCGTTTCTTATAGACGCTCAGCTGCCCGTGTCTCTTGGAAACATGCAGCATTTGGAGTATGGGATGCGAATATCACACAATAAGATACAAAGAAAACGTTTTCGACACTTAAACGAAACCCAATCAGGTGAAATTGTCTTTCGTAGCGACAGCATCTGCTAATTTGGATGTTTCAAGCAGATCGATATTAGGGTCACGTTAACGAGGATAGCAATTGGTCGCCAATCCAGTGTATTCGACGGCAGATTGGGGGCGTTGGTGAGTCGGTAGTGGGTAACTTGAGAGATTTCAATGCACTGGAGATAGGATTTAGAGACTGTGGACGACCTTGCATGTATTTGCTCAAATTCAGTCATTTAATGCGTTTCTTATAGACGTTCAGCTGCCCATGTCTTCCGGAAACATGGCGCATTTGAAGCATGCGATGGGAACATCACACAATGAGATAAAATGAAAAGGTTTTCGATTTCTAAGCAGTACTCAATGAGTTGAAATTGTATTCCGTAGCGGCAGAAAAGGCTAGTTTGGATGTTTCAAGCAGATTGATTTTAGGGTCATACTGACGAGAATAACTATTGGCCGCCAATCCCGTGTGTGGACGGCACACGTGCGGCGTCAGGGAACCGGTGGTGTTAGCACCACGCCTGATTTGTCTCCATGTGCTTCTCTTATTTTCTCCCATTCGTGAAAATGTTTCAAAATTTATAGGACCTCAACTGACATTGGCCCAGATTATCAAAGTACCTCAAACAATCATCTATCTTCCTCAGTGCTCAGTTTGAGAGATTACAATGCACTGGAGATCGGATTTAGAAGTGGTGAAAGACTTTGCATCTATTTGCTCAAAGTCCGCCATGTCATGCTCTTCTCCTAGACGCTCGGCAGCCCGTGTCATCTCGAAACATCCCGCACTCGGAGTATATGATATGAACTTCGCGCGATAACGCACAAGGAAGAAGTTTTCCATTTCTAGAGAGTACTCAATGGGTGAAATTGTCTTCCGTAGCGGCGGAATTGGCTAGTTCAGACGTTTCAAGCAGGTTGATATTAGGGTCGTGTCGACGAGAATAACTATTGGCCGCCAATACCGTTCGTGGAAGCCGTAGGTGACACGACGGGCAGCCCGCCTTCTGTGTCTCCATGTGCTCCTCTTATTCTCTCCCATTAAAAGCATTCCGAGTCGGGTTGGCTTGAACAATTTGTACGCCTCCGAATAAGAAGAAGATATGCGAATAAGAAGATAAGAGAACCACATGGAGACACAGCAGGCGGGCTGAACGACGCGCCACATACGGCTTCCAAACACGGGCTTGGCGGCCAATAGTTATTCTCGTCGACATGACCCTAATATCAACCTGCCTGAAACGTCTTAACTTGCCGATTCAGCCACTACGGAAGACAATTTCACCTATTGAGTGCTGTCTAAAATTCGAAAACGTATTCCTTGCGC